AGTGGCAGGGGTGGGGGTGGGGTGTGTGAGACAGTGGTGCAAGGACAAACATCACAGCCAAACCAAGTTCTACATCCTGCCACTGCTGTTCTAAGTACAATACGCTCATGAAAGGAACTCATCTACTCTCACTAAACTAAGGGGCCAAGATCACAAGTTGCAAGCGCGCACTCTACCACCTACTGGGTTCTCAGCTTCCTTCACTGCGGGTCATCCTACTGCCTGAAGCATCTAATGCTTCCCGTACAATCTAAAGTTAGTCCATTAGCACCACTTTACCCCCTGTGACACCCTACATGTATTTTTTAATAAATTACCTGGATTATTCTGTATTCTGACTAGAACAAGGCAGAGTGTTTCTAAGTGTCCATATGAGGCAAAGAGCCTCCTGGTGAAAAAGAGAACTAAGAAGAGGGAAGAAAAATGAGCAAAGCTCATGCCAAAACAAAGCACTTGACTGCATTAGTTTTTGATGTGCAACCCACATCTAAGTAGTCCTACTAGTAACCTTTCTCCTAATCCCTGATAATACTTGCAGTTTTGTTCTACAGGGGCACTTTCTATAATCCAAGCATTTAATTACATGGTATCTAGTAAATTTTTCTTTGAGGTATAACAAGGTTTCAGTTGAGTCAAAAATACTTCTTACAAAACCATCTCCTATACTTCCTTCCATTCCTTTCTTGCTATAATAATTCATTTTTAGATTAACTTGAATGTAAAACATTTTTTATTCATTTGCCAATACCAATTACTACAATTAAGTATATACTTTATTGAAACAGTAAAAACTGTGTCACTATTTTACTAAGAAAAAAAAAACTTGAAAATCTCAAGTGTATGGTACATTACGTATTTACAGATTTTAACATATCTAAAGTGGTAATACATGGAAGGTGTGTGTCTGTGTGTGTTTGTGTATGTGTATAAATATGTATCTCCCCGGGAGATTCTGCATTAGTAAGTCTGCAGTGACCACCCCCCAACCCCATATTTTCAAAGAGCTCCACAGTTGATTCTGTCACACATTTCCTGGCTAAGAAGCACAGAGAAAGTACATTTCAAATAGCTTTCAATACCCATGCCCTCTATTTAAAGTATGCCCCCCAAAGAAAACAATCTGGGCCAATAATTTAAAATTCTAGTTCCAGAAAGTTTGCATCAAGGTATCTTGTTTTTAAATCTCCCATTAAAAAATGTAGTAACCTGACTTTTCATTAGCAGAAAATAATTTTTTTAGAGCCTACATATGGTTTAAAATATGCTTCCTATAAAACCACAGCATCATCAATTAAGAAAACATTTATAATTCTCAGCCATACTGTAGTATTTATGATTGCTTACATAATTTTATTTTGCCTATCTTTTTTATTAAAAAAGAACATACACTTGCTCTCCTCTCCTACATTTAAAGAATAATATGTTAATGCTTTTCTTTGAAAGAGTTAAAAGCCCTTAAAATATTTTATTAACATAGCACCCAATAATAATGATGAAGGCACGTAAGGTATAACAGTTATTTTTAATTGAATGTTAAACTTTTTTCACTAAATGTGTGCCCATCTAAAATATATACAATGAAAAAAATCAAAAATTTTCCTAGATCATTAATGAGTAAGGGAATATATATGGTATATATATATATATATATATACACACACACACACACATATATATATTTTATATATATATATATACACACACACCAAAGAAATACCATATTTCTTTGATTCTAAGACCCGTTTTACATTTTGACATTCCTGAATTACGAATGCATCTTATAATCACTGGCATATCATATTGGAAGAATTTTTAAATTTTTGAATGGTGCTTCTTACAATTAATGGCACCTTAGATCTGATGAACTAGTGTTTGTTTAAAAAATATTTTTTCAAACTAAAAGAGGCAACTTATTCTTTTTAAATGTAACAAAACTGCCCCATTCCCAAAACAATCCCTAATGTGTCACTCCATAAAGCTGTATTTTGTATGAGTGAACAATGGCCAACAAATTTGTGGAAGCAACTAAATTATCAGAACAAAGGAAACTGTCCTGGTAAGAACATATAGTTTAAATAGTAACTGTATTAATTAAACAGTATAGGAAGTCATTTCCAGAGTTTTAAACAAGCAATCTTAATACTATTCCATCTTACAATGCTTTCCTAGTATTCTGTCCACCCTATACAACGAAATAAAACTAAAGTAACATTTCACTGATGATGTGCTGTAAAGACTACCCTGCTTTAAAAGAAGTTTCTATCTACAATACACATGACCAAAGTGCAGTATATGCATTCATGCTAAGAACAGAAGCCAATGTTCAATGAAATGTTTAAAGACAGAAAAAAAATTTAAAGATGAACTAATGTCTATTAATGTTGCAATCTACTACCACCACAGGAAGCCGTACCATTCTCTATCACAAGTAAAAACTATGTGACCTCATGTCTGAAGTAATTACTGCCTGCAGCAGTTCAAACTATTTTATTGAAATACTTAGGTTACTCCCTGCACATTTCTAATTGCTAGCATTCCAGTGACAGCAGTACTGTGACCAAAAGTGTCAAAAATTCGATAGGTCTTAAGTCAAATTTAGCAAAGTAAGACAATTAACTTTTCTCTCCATCATCTAAAAAAAAATAGTGAAAGTATCAGTTTTGGAAATTTGGTATCAGAATGAATACTATCCTTTCACTCAAATATTACACAACAATAAAAGATAAAGTGAGCATAACTACACGTAAATGTTTTTCAGCTGTTGTCAGAGTGTCGCACATTTTCAAGATGGGTCTCAAGGATACAGTACCGACAGCTGATCAGCAAACTTCCACCATCAGAATCTTCAAGCCAGTGTAATACTTGTACACATCTTGTTTTCAAGTTTGCACATGAAAGCCCAAGGGTGATAAAAAGCTTGGGATAAAAATTCACTGAAAAGTCTCCCTTTTTTTGGTGGCTACTTAATACAAGTGAATGTCAATTTTAATAATGATAAATGTAACTAAAGTATTGAATAGTTTGAAAGAAATTCCAGTTAATATAATTTCCTTAAGGGCAAGGCAAATCTTTCCAGAACATTAAAACTTTGTACCAGTTATCACAATTTTCCCCATTACCCCAAGGAAATGATATGAAACCAACTCAAATTACTGGACTGAATTCAATGACCTTAGAAATAAACACCAGATTTCCATTCTCATCTACTTTTCCAAAATCAAAATAAGTAACATACTATTTCTATTTCAGAACATGTAAGAAGAAAAGAATATTTCTGGCGAAGAACCTTAAAGATCTCTAGATCAGAAGAGGTAAGCAAAACCACCCAATTTTAAATGGCTGGTGTATGGCTATTATTTCTGGGGGAAGCTTGACAAGCATAACTGAAGAATTTTAGATAAATAGAACCAATGATGAATTATCGGAAGAGGAAACAAATGACTATTCACAGGACCAAATGAAAGCCTTCATTAGAAACAAAAAAACAAAACACCAATGGTTTTATATATGTGTGTATATATGCAAAACCCAAAGGAGAAAACAATCAGCAAATAAATGAAATGCAAAAGCAAATAATAATAAATATAACAGGAAACTAATCCCCGATTTTTCTGCTACTCGGGTTTACCTTGGAGGCTAATCTGAAACAGTGTCACGCAGAGCCTACAAAACCCATGATGGACACACTGTTTCTGGAATACAAATTAATGTTTTCAAATCCACCAACACCCACAACTCTACATTCTGTGCAATTAAGGAATTCACTTTAGACAAGTGACCAGTAAGTATCAGTAAGTACAAGCACTATCTAATGCAGAATAGCAAATATAATGTGAAAGAAAGCAATGCAAGCATTTACATGAAATTTGGCTCCATGCTAAATCTGACTTCATGCTTAACTGTACTAAAAAAGAACTGCCATACTGTCAATGTATCTCTTTACAATATTTCTTATTTTATCATCACAGAGGCTAAGAGCTGTAACTCTGAGCAATGTCAACTAGCCAAATTTCTCTAATTTTCTACCTAGCTTTAAAGAATATTTTATTATCTGAACTATCAACTTTCTATTTTTCTCTGTATGTGCATGAAACAGACATACAGAGAAAGAGAAAAATCTACATATGACTTACACAATAAATATGCACAGATATTACACATATACTAATGAGACTTCATGATTTTTTATATCAAAGTACATGCTTTTTCCACACACGGTTCTTTGTTGTTGTTACTAAGAGTAATAGAAAATTTCTGCAACAACTAAGCACATGCTGCTAATGATCCATGGTTTTAAGAATTTGTAGGTTAAAAAAATACAATTCCTAGAACACTGTTATCAAACAAAGAAGTTTTATTGGCATCTAAAAACAAAGTTCACCCAACATTGAAACGTACTTTAATATTGATGTTGTTTTCTTTTTTTCTTTTGAACTCACTGCAGTATGAGGAACAAATCACAAACACTTACTTTGGAGAAACAGAGACCAGAGTGTAGATTTTACAAAATCACTTTTTAAAATCTCTGTATTTGTGCTCCTCAAATATTTAGAGCCAGTCTTTGCATAAAATATCACAGCTTTGTCTATTACCTTAAAATTCTGCAGCAGCCTAGAGATATGGATAAGATATACCATCACTTGCTATTCTGAAATATATCTATTACCATATCCAACCTAATGGTAGTATCTAAAAAAAATTCTTTCTTCCATAGGAAGTCTCTGACAAGCTGTTATTCGTTTCCTTGAAGTTAAAAGAATCAGGGGGCAACATTTATATTTTATCAGAAAAATAAAAAAATGTTTACCTACCATGTTCATATTAAGAACAATGTCTATACAAGTCAGTTGTACAATTATTTTAAGAGAAAGGTGAACATGAACATCAGATTAACTTAATTCTGGCAGACAAAAGTGAACAACTATGGTCCAGTCAGCCATTAATCTATTACAGAGAGATGACAACTTTACAAAATGTATCTTTTACCTACTGAGTGATGATTATGTCCCCTCAGTTTCTGTGCTTTCTACCACTGGTTCACTCTCTATATCAGCAACTGTGTCACTCTTCTCCTTGTTTATTTCACTTGAAGATGCCAGTTTTTCATACAGTTCAGGATCACTCTGCGCTGGTAAAGGTGGTGGCTGGGTGTGTCTCTCAGTATTTTCACCATTAACCTGAGGCACATTATCACCTTTTCGTTGAGAAGTGGCCCCTTCAAAAAACTCAAAAACCCGAGCATGAGGAGGGGGGATCCAGGTGTTTTGAATTCTATCTCGTCCAAGACGATTCCCATTCATTTCTCTGCAGAAATCAAAATCTCTGTCATCCCTGTCCCTCTGCCTCTCCCAGGGTCTTCTGCGGTCATCAAAATCTCTGTGAACTTCTTGTCCGAATCCTCTGTTCCAAGGACCACTTCGAGGATCAAACCGGTAGTTTCCAGACCGAAATCTACCTCTTTCTTCATGTAAGCCTTTCGGACCGCCATAGACAGGTAGAACTCGATGCTCTCGCTCATCAAAATCTCTGTGCCCCCAGGGCTTCTCTGGATTAAAGCCAAAGTGGTCTCTTCGGCCAAGATGATCTATGCCTGGCCTCACAAGATTCTCCCTGATATCTACAGGAGGTCTTCCAAAATGATCTCTACCATCTAACGGAGGCCTTCCAGGCCCTTCTCGTGGATCGACAGGGCGTCCAACCACATCCCTAACATCCACTGGGGGCGGTCTACTGATGGCTTCCCTGGGTTCGATGGGAGGAAACCGGTAATCTCTGTCACCTTCCTGCTGAATGTTATCATTCCCAAGTGGTATCCTTTTTTCTGGGTTAGGAACATTGTCTACATTTTGTCTTCCAGGAACTAAAAAAGGTCTTTCAGGTGGACTAAAAATATCTCCTGGAGGAAAAGGACCACGGGGTGGTGGATGCAGAGCTGAATCAAGTACTGCTGGGGGAGGGAGTCCCCGCTGGGGTGGAATTCCAGGCTGTATTAAAGGGAATCGTGGTCCAGGCGTCTGTGGTATCAGTCCTGGACGAATGTCTAACATTGGCATTGCAGGCATCCTTTGATTAGGAAGATTTAAAGGGGGTAAATTTTGAGGCCCAGCTGGTGGTTGTGTTCCCAAAAGCCCAGAAGTACTTGGAACACCAGGTGGCTGTACTCCGAGAAGTCCAGAATTATTAGGCATATTTGGGGGGAGCACTCCCAAAAGTCCAGAACTACTTGACACATTTGGTGGCTGTAATCCCAAAATTCCAGAGTTATTTAGAATATTTGGTGGCTGGGGTCCAATAATCCCAGAACTACTGGAAACATTAGATGGCCGGACTCCCAGAATTTCATTATTACTGGATACGTTTGGTCTTTGGACTCCCAGAATTCCAGAATTGCTTGTCACATTTGGTGGCTGTCCTAAAATCGCAGGGCCACTTGAAATATCATTTGGAATCACTAAAATGGAGAGAAAAAAAATAACAAAATCAATCACCCTGGTGTGAAAAATAAACTATAGAGTCAAGCCCCCTACATGGGAGCCTTTCAAAGATGCCAGCACGTGCGCACAGGCCCAGCACCCAGGTCACCGGCACGCACCGTGGGCGCTCACTGCCCAGGGCTGTACTCGGAGCACGGTGCCACCCCACCGCCGTCTCCTCCCCCTCCTCCCCGTCTCTTCCCCGCCTCTAGGCAGCAGCGCGTCTTGCCTGCTCACTCAAGCCAGCCCCCGTAGGCCAACTATCATGCTGCACTACTGTACTTTCCAAGGTACTGCACTGTGAGATTAAAAACATCTTCAGTGTTCATTTTTTATGTATTATTTGTGTGAAAAGTATTATAAACCTATTACAGTATAGTACTATATTGCCAACCGTGTTGGCTGGCTATCTAGGCTAACTTTTGTTGGACTTACAAACATGCTCTCAGAACAGAACTCATTCATATACAGAGGGCTCACAGTGTTTATGATTGTTAATGCTATAATTTCCAGTAGTTAGTCAGCTACTTGTATCTCCCCAAGAACCAAGGTAGACCAGATATTAAATAAAAATTAAAGTTGAAATTATAAATACCACTCATAGTAAAATTTAAATATGAAAACAAAGTGAAGCTCTTACCTAAAATCTTTACATGAAATCTTTTTAAGTTAAACTAAAACGTCAGGTTTTATACCGATTCTCCAGGTTTTTTTTTAAGTTTATTTTTTTTTCCATTTATTTTTATTAGTTGGAGGCTAATTACTTTACAATAGTGCAGTGGTTTTTGCCATACATTGACATGAATCAGCCATGGATTTACATGTATCCCCCATCCCAATCCCCTCTCCCGCTTCCCTCTCCACCCTATCCCTCTGGGTCTTCCCAATGCACCAGCCCCGAGCACTTGTCTCATGCATCCAACCTGGGCTGGTGATCTGTTTCACCCTTGATAATATACATGTTTCGATGCTGTTCTCTCTAAACATCCCAATCTTGCCTTCTCCCACAGAGTCCAAAAGTCTGTTCTGTACATCTGTGTCTCTTTTTCTGTTTTGCATATAGGGTTATCGCTACCATCTTTCTAAATTCTATATATATGCGTTAATATAAAAAATATGGAACGCTTCACGAATTTGCGTGTCATCCTTGCGCAGGGGCCATGCTAATCTTCTCTGTATTGTTCCAGAGTGCTGCCGAAGCGAGCACTCTCCAGCTTTATTTAACAAAAGCGTTTCTAACAGTAGTGTCATTAAAAAAAAAACAAAAAAGACTTGCTGCTTTCAAACAACACACTTATCTTCTAGACCTATAGCTGAATATCTGGTAGAAGCTATACCTTATATTGGTTTGTTTTAATCGCTCTGTTGGTATACATATTTTGTGCAATCTTATTTTGATAACAACACATTAAAAAAGTCCCAATAGGCCAAAAAAAAGAAGTCTTAACGAAAAGGTGTCAAAATATATACTATCCTGAATAGAATGCCAAATTAGTTTTTAATAGAAATTTTAGGAGACAGTGATTTTTTTTTTTTTAAGTTGCAATATCCATGCACTGAATCAGTTACACATGCATGACACCTCAGAATTTAACACCAATACAGAGAAGTAGTACTTATGATTTAACGATGTCTTTCTGGGAATTTCTTTTTACTTTTACTTTTTTTTTTTACCTGATCTGGTGCTTTCTGCAGAAGAAATCTGGTGATCAATAAGATGAGGTACTTTTTCTTCAGGCTCTGCTTGTTTCGTTGGAGGATTAAAAACATTTCCAGCTGGCAGAGTGGCAGTAGCAAGACTGCTGGCAACAGAACCACCTGGTAAAACAAGGCTACCAAATCCAACATCTTTCACAGTTTCTGGAGTCATAGATAATGGCGGCTGCACTAAAGCTGTTTAAAGAAGGAGAATATACAGTTCAGATTTAATTAGCTAATCAATTAATGTGCCAAGTTAAATATTAAGTATGACCAACACTGGTCTTGCTGAAGTTTTAATCACCTCCTAGCCTCTTCTCCCAATTTTCTGGTGAGACATGACATATGTGAGTTCTCTTCTGGTCCCTTTATTTCATTTATGATGAAAACTAACCTCTGGGAGCCTGAGTGTTTCATTTAATGGCATCTCTGTATCACTGGAAAAGACCCTGATGCTGGGAAAGATTGAAGGCAGGAGGAGAAGGGGACGACAGAGGATGAGATGGTTGGATGGCATCATCGACTCAAAGACATGAGTTTGAGCAAGGTCTGGGAGTTGGTGATGGACAGGGAGACCTGGCGCACTGCAGTCCGTGGGGTTGCAAAGAGTTGGACATGACTAAGTGACTGAACTGAACTGTATTACCCAGCACATTATAAATATAGTAACTGATACTCAAAATGATAAATGAGACATCATAAGAGGCTAAATTATACTTAGAAACCTCTTTTAAAAAAATAGGGTAAAACAATTTTTAGAAATGTTTAGTAGAGACAAGTTTAGTAAAATAAGGACCCACACTTAAAATCATAATTTTTCAAAGATGGGGCTTCCCTCGTGGCTCAGTGGTAAAGACTCCACCTGCCAACACAGGAGACACTGGTTCAGTCCCTGATCCAGGAAGATCCCACATGCTGTGGAGCAACGAAGCCCGTACACCACAACCACTGAGCCTGCGCTCTGCAACAAGAGATGCCGCTGCAATGAGAAGCCCACCTACCGTAACTAGAGAGTGCTGCCGCAACTGGAGAAAAGCTCATTCAGCAATGAAGACCCAGCACAGCCAAAAGTGAATCAATAAAACCAAAACCTAGTAATTTTGCAAGGATGTCAGTATGCGACTGACTAAATGTACAGAAAAGATTGGTGTAAATACAGAGACCAACAAGTGAGAGTGAAAACCTGCCCAGTTCTCTAGAAATTCTAAGTACTATGGTCTTCTACATTCACTACTTTTTGTCAAATGAGGTTAGAAACTCATCAGATTAGAACTATAAATAAAAAAGTACAAAGATTTCATTTTAAAGAATGGGTAGAAATGTCCTGTCTCTATGTCACATATATGTTAAAAACTAAGCTAGAGGAATATTAAAACCACAATTGAACAATTAGAAATTCTAGTCAAATTTATGTCACAACACTATTCAATCATGTACTCTGGGATTCTAAAAAGTGTTTTATCCTCACATTTAACTCCAGACTGCCTAGACAAACCGTTAACATAGAACAAAGCTGTAAAACAGGGATAAAATGACCTGAGATCCCATATGGGAATTGTGAGAATTAAATGAAACAGTGTGAACAATCAGGACAGTATCTGGCACACAATGGTATTTCTCTTTTTCCTTTAACTGATCCCAGATTTTCCAAAATAATTAAAATAAGGAGAAATGAAACTGGGAGATGGGCTCTAAGTAAGTAGGATAAGTCTCTGTGAACAGCTAATTCAGAAATGGCTTCTGAACATTTTTCTAATTTTCAGAAAAAATGAACAGTTCTTCCTAATTAAACAACAGTAACATAAAAAAGATCCTCATGTTGTCTAACAGCACCAGGAGAAGGACGAGTTTAAAAATATAAGAAAAATGAGTTAACAGTATCAAAAGGTAGGCTCTGTATCATATATACTCTCTTTACAATAAAGTCCTTTGGTCCAATATTATGCCAAAAAGCTTAAGAAGCTCTCAAAACCTGGTAACAGTAATCCCAAAAGGATAGAGCAGTAACATGGAAGGTCTCTGTACAAAGATGAACAAACTGAACTTCAAAAACAAAAGTGAATTTAACTACTTGAAAGCATAAATCCATTAATCCATGTACATTACTAAAAACAAAGGGGAAAAACGTAGAGGGAAGGGAGTAGAGAATAAGAGAAATTCTCCCCTACCTTCAGCCACTGGGTATCACGGATAATAGAACTCATTACTCTGAAAGATGGTACTTGCAGTAAAGAATTTATCATCTACCCTGGGTCTCCTGTCCTTCAGGTAATGAAATATAATTTACAGAACAAATTCTTGCTAAGAAACATGGAAGGGATCATAAAATTTGGAAGATCACTTTGCAACTAATAAAAGGTAGATTCTGGCAATAATAATCAAAGGATGAAAGCATCAGACGACAGTGTGAAAGGCGACTTTTAATGACCAGGTTCCACCATCTGAATGCTCTGACCCACTCTGACATCATTAAAAGTGAACAAGAAGGCACTGCACGGCTCTTGATGTGAAGCAGTATCAAGTCCACAGAACCCCACTAGCTAAGTTTTCTTACCAAGAAAGTTGAAGCATGTTGTAAACAAGTCTATGGTGCTAAAAACTTTCTATCTGCAGGAGGTTCAAGAAGACAGAAAAACAAATTCAACACCACAAAGAAGCAAAAAGCCCAAATCCATTATCTGGGATCCTATTAGAGAAGTGAGGGCTTCCGAGGTACTGCTGGTGGTAAACAATCTGCCTGCCAATGTGGAGATGTAAGAGATAGGGTTCGACCCCTGGGTCAGGAAGATCCCCTGGAAGAGAGTATTGCAACCCACTCCAGTGTTGTTGCCTGGAAAATCCCTTGGACAGAGGAGCCTGGTGGGCTATCAGTTCATAGGGCTGAAAAGAGTCGGACACAACTAAAGCGACTTAGCACAGACACACATAAAAATGAACTACTTTTCAACAAGTCAAAGACATGAAGGATTTTTTAAAAAGGGAATGTGGGTGGAGCTGCTCCAGATTAAGACATTTTATACATAAAACAAGACAAAAAAACAAAGATATGAGAATTTTGATTAAAATAAAACAATTATAAAAAAATTTTGATACAATAGAGCAATCTGAATATGGACTGTCATACAATACTGTTGATTTGTCAGAAATCATTTAACCCAAAAAACAAAAAAAAAATGCATTTGTCTGAAAACCTTCAGAATAAAAAAATTAACAATAACTCACAAGAATGAGAATCAACAGATAATTTTTAAAGTAGAAAACTCACATGTTGGTACTACTGGCGGGATAGTAGGTGGTGGTACAACAGGGGGTGGAACTGGAGGAGGCATGAAACCTGCATGGGGGAAAGAAAAGACCAAGAATAAAATAACAAAAAAAAAGTTACTTTCTTTTAAATCAAAGATTTCAACAGCTATAAATGAAATTCTACATTCATTATATAATCATTACTACAGCCTCGTATTTATGAATATATATTCCATTTAAATAATTATTTTCATATACACAACCTTATTTGACACTTAGTAGGCTAAACAGTAAAAGCGCAGGGACCCCTGTCACGAACATGTGCTACCTGTTGACTCATCCGTCTAAATCCCGTGGCACGCTCTACGACACTGCAGAATCAAACACTAATTCAAGCTGGGCAGCCCGTTTCTATGTTAGCTTGATGACTGCATGCGGGGGAGCTAAGCATTGTATTTCAAGCTGCTGGTAATATTATACGCAATAATGTCACCCGTAAAATGCGCTACTGTATTTCTCTGATATATATATATATATATATGCTGTTTATCCACTAGACCAGAATATTTGCATTAATTTTGTGTGTTACTATGGTTTGTTTTGAGCACTGAAACAAACCTTAATAAAAATAAATAAATAAAATAGATCTACTACTGGCAGTTTCATGATTTTAAATATCACATGATGCAACTATAAACCTGCTTCTCTGTATTTTTAAAATACAGAGCTACCATTAAATTCCATTATAAAAGGTGGCTAAAAATAATGGGGAAAAAAATATGATTTTCAACAAATGAATGCAAACATGTGTATGGTGTTTGAAATACCATGTATTTCTTCTGAGAAAAGAAATCTTCTGAGAAATATCTTCTGAGAAAAGTTTAATTTTCAATGACAAATACAGAAGATATTTTATGAGTAATTCTCTAATATTTAAAATATAAAAAGGTACAGTTCTTACTAAAATCATCAACTTCAAATTATACATTAAACTGTAATTTAAAATTTTTATGTTACATGACAAATTACAACAGACAATGAGTTTAATTTTTGGCTTTGTTTTCAGTTTTTAGGAACTGTATTCAACAATGGCTAAGGATTTAAATTACAGAAATCAATTCAGTCATTCTTTTCATAATACACAAATAATTTATAAAGTTCAAAAAAAAAATTTTTGAAAAACAACATGTATCATTTGATCCCTTATTCTTCTAAACCTCCCATGATCTAATAATAAAAAGCTCTAAGCTCTCTATATCTCTTACATATAAGCAATTAATTATATTTAATTGATATGTGTTAAGTAATCCATAGTTTTTACATGGAAACAATGATTTAAGGACCTTTTTGTTTACCAATAATTAACTAGGTCAAAAGAATTACTAAAAATTCAATTAGCACTTTAAGATATACTTTAATTTCTAATGTCAAACTGGAAATCTAATAATTTTTAGGATGGCTAATCTACATATTATTAGATCCAGAGTGGCTCAGATGGTAAAGAATCTGCCTGCAATGCAGGAGACCTGGGTTCAATCTCTGGGTAGGGAAGATCCCCTGGAGAAGGGAATGGCAACCCACTCCAGTGTACTTGCCTGGAGAATTCCATGGACAGAGGAACCTGGCGGGCTAGAATCCATGGGGTCACAGTAGCCCATCATTGAGCAACTAACACTCTCACTTTTTTCAATCTATATATTTGATGCATCCTTTCTGATAAATGGGTGTTAACTATAGACTTCTATATAAAAAACTTCAAAATAAATTTTAAATTATTTTGAAGTATTTCAATGATTTTAAAAGATTCATTTCTTTTCTCTGTCAAATGCTTCTTAAGAGTGTGGTCTGTGAACAACAAGCATCAGCTGGGAACTTGTTAGAAGTGCAACTGTCCTGCCCCACTTCAGTTCCACTGATTCAGAAGGTGGCTGGGCCCAGCAATCTGTGCTTCAACACGCCCTACAGGTGATTTGGATGTAAGCTCTGGTTTGAGAATCACTGCTCTTATAGCATTCAAACTTAGAAAGAGAACAATTTAAATGACAGAATCCTAAACAGAGTTCAAATACAAGATGAATTCTTACCAGGCGGTGGCTGTGAAGGGTTGAAACTTGCTCGGAGAAAAGGAGGCGGAGGAATTGGACTGAAGCCGGGAGGAGGAACTGGCATTGACACGGGAAATGCTGGTGGTACTAAATTAACTGCAGGCACTGCTGGGGCTACTGGAATCTTGGGGATAGAAAATAAAAATGTCCATGCACCATGTTATCCATCTGCAACGATTACATCTTAGGACAACCAAAGGTAAAGGATTTCTGTTTCACAGAAAGGTAATGAACATCATCATATTAAGTTGCTATTTTTCCTTTCTGTATTCTTACAAGTGAACCTACTTGAAGTAGAAGACAGTATTTTTCAACAGAGTGTATGTGGAGATTGTGAAATCTACCTTATACTCAATGCAAAAATATGGGCACCTCCTTCAACAGTGAATATCATGTTCAATCTTAAACTGCCATCTCTCACTAAGTTTGTAACACCTAACTATGTTATGTAATCTAATCACCACTAGGAAGCATGTCACTCACTACCAGCTTTAAAATGGCTGCAATTTCTCATTAACTTGCTTTCTACTCCTAACCATAAATTCTTATACTCATAACAGGTACAACAATTCCCAAATATTTACCTGCATTTTGGTATGGCTGGCTGTACTTCTCTCCTGAAGAAAAGTGAAAGTCTCTCAGTCGTGTCTGACCCTTTGTGACCCCATGGACTACATAGTCCATGGAATTCTCCAGGCCAGAATACTGGAGTGGGTAGCCATTCCCTTCTCCAAGGGATCATCCCAACCCAGGGATTGAACCCAGGTCTCCTGCATTGCAAGTGAGGCACCAGGGAAGCCCACCTCTCTCCTGAAGTTCACATTACATCAATGGTTTATTCAACACCTCAATTCTGTTGTCCAGAAAGACTGTTCAGACTTTCACATGCACAAAACTGAACTTCCTCTGTCCTTCCCAAAACCACACTTCCACAGTCTCGCATTCTCTGACAATGGTAACTCCATCTTCCCAATTTCTCAGACCAAAAACCCTGCCCCTGTTCCCTCTCACAACTCAAATCCAATCACGTGCACTGGTCACACCACGACAATATACCTAGTTCTGTCTGTTTCTTGTTGACTTCACTGCCATCGGTCTCGTCCGAGCCCTCATCATCTCTCGTCTGAATTGCTGCAATTGTCTTTTAACTTGTCCCTGCTTTTATCAGTGCTCACTATTCTATTCTCAAAGCACTTGCCAGCGCAATCCTTTAAAGCCAGATGGAGTCATTTCTTTCTTCAAAATAGTGGGTCCCCCATCTGAGAGTGAAACCAAAGTCCTCCAAGAAGTCTCACTTTCACTAGGTTGCCTCTCACTCACTACTCTTGCTCACTTGTTTTTCCTGGAACACACCCATAATGCCCCCAGCTGTGGCCTCTGCACTGGTTGTTCCCTCTGCCTCCAAAGCTTTCTTGAGATAGCCACATGATTAACTGCCTCAGCAACTTAAGTGGTGCTCAAATGTCACTCTCAATAAAGTCTACCCTATTTTAAATTTTAAACTCCTACCGAGGCACTCCTGACATCATAGTTTTATACTACCTTCTCCCTTGCACAGTATCTTATAAACTTACTAATTTCCTAGTTTCTGTCTCGTAATGAGAATAAATGCTCCAGAAGGGCAGGGATTTATGTGTGTTTTCTTTCCCTGAGGTATCCCCTATCCCAGGTGACTAGAACAGTGATTGTCACAGAGCAGGCACTCGATAAATTTGTTCAGTAAAAGAACATTTAAAAATAAATTACACCTTACAAAATGAAAATTTTAAAAATACTTATATTTAAGGTTACTCTATTTTGGACAATTTCTCCCAAGGTTTATAAAACAAAACGATGAGTGAGAACAGAAATGCAGAGCAGCGCACTGCGCAGTGAGCCCCAGCACTGACCTGTAACACAGCGACAGGCGGGGGGAACACCTCCGCCTGGGTGGTGACCACCACCTCCTTCTCGGCTGGAGGCGGGCTCTGACTTGTCTGCGCCGGCTCTTTAACAGGCTCTGAGCTCTTCACCGTTTCCCACTCTAAACAAAACATTTGAAATTGATTTCCTCCGAATGTATGCAGTTTTTCATTTTCTATTACTATGAACATATTTACTCCAGGTCCAAACGGTCCTTCCTGTACCACGGCTCATCTTCCAGAACTATCCACAACTCTAGGTGGTGTGGACAAACTCTATTTGGTTCTGCAGAGATAAATCCGATTAGGATACTAACGAGTTCAAAAGAACATGAAATGAGGCACAAATCAAAGATGCTAAAATATTCAGTCTAGAGAAAACACATAAAAGGGACATAAGAGACATATCGCCAAGGCTGCCCAATATAAAAGGAACCAACCTTATTCTATATTTTGTCACAAGGTACAAGGGTAGCCCAACAAGGAAAACATTAACCCAATATAGAAAAATCTTCCTGAAAATACTGAAAAATGCAAAAGCAGAACAAAAAAGCTCCAAAGAGTCCGCTAAAGGTTCTTCATCTCCCTTAAAGCACACCCATCAAAGTCATCAAAATGACTAGTAAGACTTCACGTGACCTTGCCACTGTCCTCTCTGACTTCATCTCCTACTAATCACTTCTCTCTAAACTCAAGCCATTCTGCTCTTGTGACCATTTAATAGACTTTGCATTTGCTGTTCTCTCTGTACAAACCACTCTTTCCCAGAAAGCTGCATATCTCACCCCTCTGAAAAATCACCTGCTCCACTAGACCCTCTTGAACCACTTAAAACTGCAAAAGCACCAAAGTCACGCTGCCTGTCCCCTTGCTTTGTTTTCCCTTAGGGCTTACCAACAGCGAAATGCTATTAAGTTTATTTACTTTGTTTATTATCCATTTTTTCCCCCACTAGAACATGGGTTGGCAAACACTTCTTACTATAAGGATTCTAGACAGTGTGGGCCATGTGTTCTCCATTACAATGACTCAACTGTTGTTGAATTTTAAAAGTCATATACAATAGGCAAACCCAACTGACCATGGCTATGTTTCAATAAAACTTCATTTACAGAACAGGCAGCCAGTAAGATTTGGCCCATGGACTGTTGTCCATCACTGTACTACAGTCTGCGCTCTGAGAGGAAGGATTTTTGTCTATCTCACTGCTATAATCACAGTTCCTAAAATTATGCCTGGCACACAGCAGGAACTGAAATATGCTTTGAATGAATAAATGTTCTGGAAGAACAGCCATCCAAGTGAGAGAAGGAAATGGCAAGAATACAACAACTGAAAAGAAGTGTTTGAAAACATGTGCACTGGCCGGAGAAAAACACTACTCTGAAAATTAAGCTAACTTTAGTAAAAGAGCTAAGATGTCAAGAAATGAGGTATATCATATTTCAATTCTTTCCCAAGTATCCATTATCCTGTGAATTTTTTAAAATAAAAAGAAAAATTTTTAAAAAGAACAGGTCAGATTATCACTTGGTTATAAGCTTTCCAGAGCTCCATGAATCTCAGCTACAGCTCTCTAAACCAAGATTCTATTCCTGCCATTCTCAACATAGATACTAATCAAAATATTATAATCTAGGAAGTTTTTTAAAGAAACACCATCCTAAATCCCCAGTTCTCATTTAAACTCAAGTAAATAAAATAATTAGTCTAAAGATGTCTCCATATTCACAACTCTCTCAAAGACTGAAGCTTTAGAAAAAGGCATATATAAGAAATGCTACATTTAGAGTTGTAGAACACTACACTCTGACACTTATGAATAGATCCCAGTAAGGATATACATTGAACAGAGTAATGGCTCATTTTTTCCCCTCTTCTGTATAAGGGGGAAAAAAATCCAGGAAATAACACAATTCACCCCATCACGCAAAACGTGTAGCAGTTGCAACCCTTCCAGGGTACTTTTTAAACAATAAAACTCCCTGTAGGGTTCTTACCAGTATTTACAGTTTCCTGATCAATCATGCCTCCTTCTGCAAAACCTTCCAAGTCATCCACTTTAACTTTTTCCCATGGTATATACGTAACTCCAAGATCCACATCCCAGAATTGTTTGTATTCTGTTTTTACACCTTTGTTTAAAGCCCAAGCAATCTATGACAAGAAAAAAAATTTTCATTTATACTATTTTAAAAAAAAAGGTAAAACATACAAAATTATAAGCTAACAATGTAAATACAAATAAAATTAGTTTCAAAAATCAGCTGGACAAAAATCACTGCTGGAATAACAATAATCAAGGAATTTTTTTCCATGTATTTTCTGATTTTCTTTGTAAAATGAAACCTGCATTAGACACTGATGGTGTCTGTAATATGGGGTTTATTTCCACTTCTTAGTATGACCTTAAAACAATACATTCCTAAAAATAATCCAAATCTACTTTTCACCATAAAAACCTCAACTTAATTAGATGTAATTATTTAGATAAAATCTTATAATTAAGCAACTAGGTATTTAGATAATTAGCTAAACAAAATCTTGGTAATCCATGAAAGAAGAGGCCAGTGACACTTCAGCTTACACAGAGAAACTCTCTGCCATAAAAGGACAAAGCATGGGTGTATTAACTCCTTTGAAAGTAATTTTAAATTTATTAATTCAGTTACAGAAATTGATAAATTATCTTCAAAACAGCAGAAATAAAATGTGAATTACAAGGTGTTAAAAAGGAGACATCAAATAGTATAATTACGGGGTAGGATTAGGAAGCACTGGGAAGAAATGAGACAAAGACAAGCCTGATAAAGTTCTGCTCATAAAATGGTGTCCCAGTTGACTAAAGAGTACTGTGCAAAAAGAGTTCTTTTATTCAAAGAACTGCTTGAATAAGGTTTTGTTTGCTTATTGTTTAACCTTGAGCTAATTCTATATTTTAATAATACTGAAATAATAAATTTCTGTCAAGGTTTACCCATAACGCTAAAAAAGGATTCAACACAGGAAACAGAATTCTAACGATCCAATAAAACAAGAGCACCACGTGTCCCCCAATCTCACCTTAATGACCTTGGATCCAATTTTATACGACCCGGAACTAAGTTTCTGAAGAGCTCGAAACGCATCTTGTCGATGAACCATGCAGACATAAGCACAGCCTCTGGGAGGAATCATCTGTTAAAAAATTTTTTTTCTTTAGAAATGGTATAAGGAGGGCAAGTCATTTCTGGAATTTTATGGTTTTAATAGAACAGAACATTGATTACTGATAATACTGAATCATTTTCCCCCTTTTTTCCTCTGGCTGTTTATTGGTACAATTCATATACAATTACTTAAAAAACAAAAAAAGTTCAGAAGCTAGCTGGCACTCATTCTAAGCCTGATATACGTGAAATCTAGAATATCACATGTCAAAGTTTCACTACACAATGATGAACTATTAAAACAAAATAATGTGTAAAGACATGTATATAATACCACCAGATAAATGGAAAGTAATACTGGATGGCCAACATATTTGAAGCATGTAATTTATTTACAGTAGTATTTATAATTTTCCAAATGTTATGTTGGGTACTATGAGAAGGATTTTTGTTTGGCCAAAGTATTTTATCCTTAATATAAAGTCCAAAATCTACAACAAATAATAAAACAAGAGCTTTTCAATTTTATAAAACTTAACTTTGCCCAACTACTTCCAGACAAAGGTTTTAATATGAATAGGAAGATAGCCTCAGCATAATGATCTCGATTTTTGTAGCATTTTAACTCCTCTATAAACTACCAAATCATAAAATTATCTTTATTAATTCAGAAAAATGCATGGAGTATTTCACTTTATGAAGAACTTACAAGGTCTTCTACCACTTTATTAGTAGTCATTATATAAGCTCTATGTGAAAAAAACCTTTCCCTCAGTCTTGCTAATATTTCAAGCTATCAACTCTTAATTCCAAACTTTCAAAAGAGAAGCTTACCTAACCCCTTACATAATTCATCTTTCGCAATGTAGATCCAACCCCTCCCCAAACCAGCAAAAATACTTCTTCAAGCTAATGACCTACTAAATTCTAAATCTAATGGACTCTTCTCAGTCTTCAAACTCCCCCAAAACTAACTGAAAGGTTTATTAAATCTTCCATCAATTTTTCAAATCCTGGATTTTATCACTAGTCATTTAGTACACTTCACTTCACAAAATAACTTAATGCCTATTACTTGTAAACAATACACTATTATAAGGTAAGACAGAAGAAGAGGGAGACAAACTGATGTCCAAATGACTATGGTACAAGAAAGAATAGACATGTCATATGCAATGTGAAATACAAAATGCTACTTGGATTCAGGATCTGTTTGGAGCAATGATTCCTGGTTTTGCATCAAATTCACCTGTGTAATTATGGTACTCTGATAAGAATCCAAAGATACTGATCATGGGCATCCATGTTTTTTCAAATGTCAGCCCATGTCTGATATGCAGCTAGAGCTGAGAAGCATTAGTTTAAATGCAGCACAAAATCAGAAAAAAATTTCAGAGGTTACATAATTACACACTCTGGAAGATTACTTAAGTTCTGACAGGTTGAAATTTAAAAAGACAAAAAGAGAAGCCTTCAACCCTTTTATGGTATCAAAAGAGGAATCTGAAATACCTAAGTTGAAATACTCAACCAATTATCTATTATTTATTAACAAATCAGTTATTTACTATCCATGTAACTCAGTGAAATCACTTAGGTTCCTCCCTGGTAAAGTAACTAAATTACTTATTAACCAGCTTCCTGTGAGACTCCAATGAGGTCTCACCCATTGAAAGTAAAATACAAAATGGTCAAATTCAATTTAAATAAACACCGCTGTTATTAATACCAAAAAGTTAAATTTGGCCATATAAGGAATGTTGAGACTGCAAGGACTCTAAGACTGGAAAGGAAAAACCAGTCAATTTCCTGGTAAATAATGATGAAAAATATCCAAAAGTCATTAAAGTATAGTAACTGAATAAAATCAGGGTTAAAGTCTCCTCAAACAAATGACTACAAAACATTTCATGGCTTAGTTTTAGCTCCAAGGAGAAACATTAGCCCTTCAGGAAGAAGAAAATATTTAAAGAAGGGGACTGGGTGCACGGAAAGAATCACACTGAGGAGTCAGGGAACTGTGCTCAGGTCGAGTAGGTTTTCTTGCCCTGGGGTTTGCTGAGAGGGAGAGGTGGGCAAGGGGAGGAAGGAGACTGAGACCTCCCGTCCAGCTGTGTCTCCACCATCACCGACGTGCTCAGGTGCAAATAATGACAATTCTAACTCAGTTTCTCCATTTTCATTTAAAAAGGGAAAAAAAGAATTAAACCAGATCATACATATGGTTCCTGCTAACTCATTTGATGTTTTTAGTACTACCACACTGCAGTAAGGCCCCTAAAAATATTTTGTAAGAATTCCATTAAAAGAAGAAAAATTAATTAAGGAGATAGCAGGAGAATAAACACAAAAATGATCAGAGCCAAATAATCCTCACAAAAATGTGATCAAGGGCAGATACAAAGTGACTGAAAACTCCCTATATTTTTTCCAAACCTTACACTATTATATTTAAGAACTGATACTTACATTAATGGACTCAATCTGTCCAAACTCTTCAAACAGGTTGGTTAAATCTTGCTGTGTTGCCTTCTTGTCCACCTGACCAACCCACAGAGTAGTACTGCATACTGCCAAGACACAAGAGACAAATGACCTAAATCACATAGGTAAGTTACTTCTTTCAAGTAGCTAACGAAAAGCACTAGTAACAGTAATAAATTAAAATTTAAGATAGCATATTTTAAATACTTATTAACTGATATTTTTGTTATGTTTAAAATCAACTAAAATGCCAGGTACCCATTCACATCTATGCCAAGACAACATCTTGCATCATCACATATTCTCAAGCTTGACAGCACACACTGGTGGATATCTGAGACACACTTTAAAAGATAATTCAAGGTAAGTGGTAAAGATTGGGAATTGGGGTAGTTTAAAAATTCTGTAGGTGATTCTAATGTGCAACAAAGTTTCAAAATCACTTTTCACTGCAATCCTATTTGGGAACCTTTTAAATATCTTTCTGTGCTGGAATGAACAGTTAAATCTGAAAACAGTATCTTACCCTTAAGAAAAGAATAATTAGGTTAAAAAAAAATACAAAAAGGAAAAGGCTGATTCAGAACTCAACTTGTTACCATGAAAGACCCAGGGATACTAAAAGCCGGAAGTCACTTCCCTTTAATAAATAAATGCTACACATGAGACACATCTGGCCTATTTTTGGCTGCACTGTTCATGCTGTCAGAAACATCTCCTTTCCCTGAAAACATTTACTTTAAAAATACTTACAGCTGATATATTTGCAGAGTTTTATTATATTTGGATTTGTGTCAATGTTATTTTTAAAAAAAGTCTCCAGCTTTTGGGTTACTGTTTAAAGCTAATTCAGCCCCACATTAAAATATGACCATTGCAAGGGATTTACCAAATGTGGATTTCAGTCAGGCCTCTCTACTCTGGCTGGTCAGAACGTGAATGTCTTCCAGACCTATGACAGCTTTGGGAATCATTCAGTTAATAGATCCCTGGAGACTGTTCTCTCCCTGCTGTTTGTTCTGGGTCTCATGCAGCTCACCTGTCCATTCAACCAAAGTCTAAAAGGGCAATGTAGTAGTTTTCTTTTGTTACTGTAACAAAACACCACAAAATCAGTACCTTAAAACACAAAAAGGTAGCTTTCTACCCCTCTGGTGATCTAAAATCAGTCAACAAGTTGCCCTCCTTCTGGAGGCCCTCAAAGCAAATCTGTTTCCTACCTTTGCTGCCTAGCTTCTACAGGTAATCTGCATTCCTTAGCTCATGATCCCAACCCCCATGTTTGAATCAGGGTTAGGAGAGCACCAACATTATTAATCATTTACTACTGGTTCTATCAGGTAAGATTCTGGAAAGACAGCCAAGGCTGGTTCAGATTGCTAAAACGTAGTAAAAAGATGCTGTCACCTTTAATTACATGCCTGGGTTTCCAGGATGCTTCAGCAAGGTAAGCTGTACCAGTTACCCATCTATCTCCATGGCAGAAAGATTTATTTGGAGATCTTCAGAAATCAGGCAACCTGATCAGTGTTCAACTCTTGGCAAAGAATGACAATTTGCTCCATTTTATGTACTTCACCCATCTGCAACCTGTTCGTTCACCCTAAAAGTCATAACCGACTAAGAATCGTGCAGGCAGAATCCCGCACTAAGTAGGACTTATTTTCCTATACTTCACATGCCTGTCAAGCCAATGCTCCTGGAGGTTTCTCCCAAAACAAACCCCCACTACTACCAAATTTGGTCTAATCATACATTATAGATTAACTATAAAGAAGGGAAAGTTTTTACAACAGAACTCTCTCTTTCAGTACTGATCAAGTTTATAATTAGCTTTAAATTGGCATGCTTCCCATAATTACTCCTATAGACCGGGCGTTCAAAATTGGTTAGGACACTACATATGGAAATTATGGTGTCAGTGAAATATTATAGATACAAGGCCTATTCTACTTTGTAAATCATTAGTCAAGTCATATTTTTAAACTAGTATTAAAAAAAACCCAACTCTCACTGACTTCAGTATTTGAGCAGAAACCTGTTAATTTTCTTTCTCCTCTATCACATTACAAAAACCAAACCAGTTTTCAACTTCTCATTCTGAAAACTCAGGTTGAGAGATTGTGTATTAACAGCAGGTAACTATTTTCTCAATGTTACTGAAACCAAAGCTTATAAAGTACATCACTTACCACTTAATGTTTTAGATCGAATTGGAGGTAATCCCTTCTTCTGTCGTTCTTTCTCCCTTTCTCTAGCTCTCCTTTCACTTGAGTATGAACGTGATGATTTCCTTTTTCTTTCTCTAGAGCGGGAGCGTGATCGCTTTCTGTGCTTACGCTTTCGAGAACCAGATCGTGACCTAGACCGTCGTTTTCTTGGTGATCTACCAAAAAAAAAAAACCCTATTTTACTAATGACAAGTTAAAGTATCAAACATGTACTTAAATCTCTATACTGCTTAGGTCCACATTAGACACAGATGTTTGTCCGCAGTGATTCTTATTGAGTCTAGGTGATACAAGGAAGAAGAGAAAGAGTCTAGTGAGGGTCTTACTTTCTCTTAGTGTCTAATTTACAAACAAGAGTCAAGAACAGGGATGAAAGACAGAAGAAAACAAGATTCTTTAGGTGACAAAGATGTTACATTCTTAAAATTAGTAAACAGTGTTTTCAACAGTAGACCACTAAACAATTCTGTTTATAGGTTTTCACCTTCTAAAATCTCATGGTACTTAACTTTACAACATAATGTAATACTCAAATACTGTTTCTTTTTTCCTGCCAATCATATGTCACTGAACTCTATCCAAAATACTCTTGTGTTGCAAAGACAAAGAATTTGCTAAGACAAAGACGTCTTCAGGACTAGCACTGTAATTCCCTGGAGAGAAGTTTAGAGAAAGAACTGACAGGCTCTCACTTGCAAGGAAATTCTTGAAAATAAATTCCTAAAACGTCCAAGTAAATACAAGGAAGTTCTTAAAACACACAAGAAACAACTGAAAAAGCCATGGAAGATACTGCCCCTCTTCCAGCATTTACTGTTCAGGCTTTCTGGGGCATTCGTGTGCCAAAAACACATCACAAAAATGTTACAGATTAATGACTTTAAGTTTTAAGGCAGTTTATAGCAAAGATAACATATATTTAAGACAGTTCAAAACAAAAACAAGAAAATTTACCAGGTTAAGAATACTGCATTTTAACTCAAATTTGACTGAGCGTGTACATTAATGAGCCTTAACATGGGTAAGCCCACAGAGAAAACCATTTCTAGGATATGTTTTTTGAGAGTTTGATACGCTTACTGTTAATAAAAACAATTTTTATAGTTTGATTTTCATAATCATTTTTGGTATTACGAGATGAAACAGAATGTTAATAAAAAAGGAATTTCTAATACTATTCCTCTATTGTGTGATTTAACTGTTGTTCAGGGACAATTATGTCCTAAGCTGACTATCAACATAATATTATTAACTGCAACCATATATAACCCCAAATCCAAGTCTCACAATATTGCTGTGACTCGTGTAAATAATTCAAATAAAAAGCCACAGACATGTCCAACTAAAAACAAAGCAAAACTTTCTGTTTTTGAAGTTCTGAGTTACTTTCTCATGAGACAATATGTTACTCTCAAACATACTGAGAGTAACATTTTCTTTTCTCTCAAACATATTGAGAGAAACATTTTCTTTTACCTTGATGCAAAGAAACAAAGGATGCAAAAAAAAAAAAAGGCCAACATTTTAAAAGTTTGCACACAGCTATTTTTAAATAGTACTGCAGAACCTTGAACGAGATCGGGAGTGTGTTCTTGATCTTGAACGAACAGCCACTTTCTTTGCTTCCTGTTCAAAGATCTCCTCTTCCACTGCATCTTGCACTTCATCTATATCCATATCCTTAAAAGTCAAAGGAACACAAACAAAATGCCTGGTTGAGATTCAGTGTTTACTGATCATTTCTGCATTCCAAAATATTCACCATAGTAACATTAATGCCTAATAGTAAAATGGTTACAATGCACAGCTTAACATGGAGGAAGAAACATTCAGGTTTATATTATTTTAGATAAAATAAAAAATATTACCATATTTTAAGATTTTTTTCTGAAATCAATTTTAGAACTTTATGACCCAGGAAAACATTTACTTTTTACCTGTTGCTGAATATCTATGGAATCATCCAAATTTGCTTCAGGTTCAAGGAAATGCTGCTGACTGCTCCCTTGTGACGGTGATGCAGAATGCTCTGACCCAAATGTTCCTTCTTGACTATCCTGAGGAGTTGCCTGTTGAGAATGTGCACAAACACGCAAGCATTGGGAAATAATGAATAATATTATAAATGAAAATTTACAGGCGAACATCACAATCAAATTTTTAAAAACAAACCCAATACCAAAAGGATCCTGTTACATCTTTAATGATCAATCTAAAATGGCACTTATGTATAAATCCAAGTTTACTTCAAAGCGTAGAATACCCCCATAAAGGGGGATACTGTAACACTAGAAGAGACTGGTAAGATTAAGAAAGTCTCTAAACAAAATTTTCATTGTGGAAAAGATAAACTATCACAAATAAAGGGACTGTATCATGAGTGATATATAAAGAATTAAGTCACCCACTGTATATACACAAGCAAAAGGAAAGCTCAAACCTGAATATCAAAATCACTGATCCAGTAAAATCAGTTTAGAAATTGGGTCTTTTTCAACCTCCACCTCTACGAATTCACAAAACAATATTAGGAAGTACTCAGATATGTAAAACATTTCAGAAAGACTAAACAAAAGTTAGGCAACGAAGCCTAACTATAGGAAAGAACCAAATTTAAACCTCTCCCCAAACCTGGGACAATTACAGCAACTTGATACAGGGACTCTGCTTGTGTGATGCTAATCTGTGTGAACTTGCTTAGCAACTGCATAATACTATGATGTCAACTAAAACTGAGAAACTGATTATTATGAAAAAAAATGACTCCCTACTGAAACATCCTAAAACATGATCTCACAGGTGCTAAAGATGAATAAAAAGAGTCCCTGGTGGTACACAAGTTGGGAACTACTGAATATCATAATTAACAGAAAAGAGTAACTCAAACTACCATGCCCTTCCTACAAATCTATGACTAAGAACAAAGCTACTCTCGCTGTGAATATGTCTCTGTGTGTAAAAGGAATACAGTTCGGTGATTATAGAGAATACTGTATTATAAATTTCAAAGTTGCTAAGAGACTAAATCTTAATTGTTCTCACCACAAAAAAGAAGTAATTATTTGACATGATAGAGGTGTTAGCCAACAAACAGAGGTACTCATATCTCAATATATAATCATATCAAATCAATATCCTGTACACCTTAAACTCACACAATGTTATGTCAATTATATCTCAATTAAAAAATTTTTTTAATTACTCTTATTCTAACGACATTTAAACGGAAAGAAAAGCAAGCAGTAGAAAAACTGAGTCAATAAAAGCATCAAAGAACCATTCCAATGTATTAATTTACGAAGGAACAGGCTCCCCAAAGACAAGCAACATTTTCAAGGTTTAGAAATAAATTAAAGCTAAAAATCTTGTTAATTAAATGCCTGCTTTATTCCACACAATTGACCAAAAGTTGGTAAACAAGTATACTTTTGAGAACAAATCAAAGTATGTTTTAAGCACAGTTCCAGCTAATGCCTTCAAAGTGGTACAATAAAAATAAAATCCTTAACAACACAGCAAGATAATAGTCTATTTTATCCCAAGCCTTACTGTTTGGCCCCAATTCAGTACTGCTACATCCTTCATATCACGTATTTCTTAGCTCACCACCCACCTGGAGCATCCCATCTACCATCCACTTCACCTCTGTCTTTCATCTCTGATTTTTTGCGTATAGTCTGGTTGGTATAACCAGCAGAATCCACTGCAACCAATGTTAGATTCTGAGGTTCTTTTTGAGCCGTTTTACCTATTTGAAAAGGCTGTGGTTCCTGTGGTTCTTTATTTTTTTCTTTGAGTTCTTATGAAGAACAAAGAGAAAATTTACTTTTTTTTTTTAATTTACTTTTAAAATTCAACTACAGGGCTTACCAGGTGGCTCAGTGGTAAGAATCCACCTGTAAATGCAGGAGACACAGGTTGGATCCCTGATCTGGGAAGATTCTACATGCCACAGAGCAACTAAGCCCGTGAGCCACAACTATTTAGCCTGTGTGCTAGAGCCGGGGAGTCGCAACTTCTGAGCCCATGTGCTGCCAACTACTGAAGCTCACATGTCCTAGAGCCTATGCTCTGCAACAAGGGAAGCTGCTGCAATAAGAAGCTAGCTCATCCCAACTACAGAAAAGTCCAAGCAGCAAGGAAGCCCCAGGACAGGAAAAAAAATAAAACTGTATTTAAAAATTATGATAAAATTAAACTACAATTTACTTTATGATCTTGCAATTAGCATTAGGTCGACTGGACACTTAACTACATCTAAGGTCTAAGCTATGTTATGGGACCTTAGAGGTGTTTTTCTCCTGTATATTGAAACATTTTGCCATTTCATCATCCTAAGAATTATTCCACTATTACTCATCAATTACTCCAAACTGTGAAAAAAAACCTAAAATAATAATTTAAAAAGTAGGGAATTGTTGAGAAGGGTGATTCAACCGTGAAATAAACCTTCCTTCAGTTTTACTGCATCACCAAAAGTAATGCACTATATTTCAAGAAGGTATAAATAAGAATTGGATCACAGAAAAAGCAAAAAAAAAAAAAACCCAACCATTTACTTCTGCCTCACTGACTATGCTAAAGCTTTTGACTATGTGGATCACAACAAACTGTGGGAAATTCTTATATGGGAATACTAGACCACCTTATCTGTCTCCTGGGAAACCTGTATGCAGGTCAAAACGCAACAGCTTAGAACATGGAACAGACATGGAACACCGAACTTGTTCAAAGTTGGAAAAGGAGTACATCAGGAGGTATATTGTCACCCTGCTTATTTAACTTATATGCAGAGTACATCATGCAAAATGCTGGATGAAGCACAAGCTAAAATCAAGATTTCTGGGAGAAATATCAATAACTTCAGATATGCAGATGATACCACCCTTATGACAGAAAGTGAAGAGGAGCCAAAGAGGTTCTTGATGAAGGTGAAAGAACAGAGTGAAAAAGCTGGCTTAAAATTCAACATTGAAAAAACTAAGATCATAGAATCTGGTCCCATCACTACGGCCAATAGATGGGAGAAAAAGTAGAAACAGTGACAGATTTTTATTTTCCAGGGCTCGAAAATTACTGCAGATGGTGACTGTAGCCACAAAATGAAGACACTTCCTCCCCAGAGGAAAAACTATGACAAACCTAGACAGCATATTAAAGAACAGACACATCACTTGGCTGACAAAGGCCCGTCTAGTCAAAGCTAGGCTTTTTCCAGTAGGCATGTATGGATTTGACAGTTGGACCATAAAAAAACCAGAGAGCCGAAGAATGGATGCTTTCAAACTGTGGTGCTGGAGAAGATTCTTGAAAGTCCCTTGCATAGTCAATCCTAAAGGAAATCAACCCTGAATATTCACTGGAAGGATTGATGCTGAAGCTGAAGTTCCAATACTATGGCCACCTGAGGCAAAGAGTCAACTCACTGGAAAAGACCCTGATACTGGGAAAGACTGAGAGCAAGGAGAAGCAGGCAACAGAGGATAAGATGGTTAGATAATATCACTAACTCAACTGACACGAATCTGAGCAAACTCCGGGAGACACTGAAGGACAGGGAAGCCTGGTGTGCTGTGGACCATGGGGTCACTAAGTGTTGGACAAGACTTAACGACCAAATAACAACAATAAAAATCTACTGAAGCAAAGTAAGTTACATACTGCTGATATCCCACTGATAGCTCTTTATTATTAAGTGACTGAATCTTCTATAATTTTTTTATTTCTAACACTGTTTAAAGTTCTTTTATTAGTCTTATCTCTTTCATCATGAGCATCTCATTCTGAGTTATCTGACATCTTTTGGATGTCTGATAAGACAGTTACCAAAACCACAATTCCAACTTACTCAAAACAACAGAAATCATTTCTTTTATGACATGATTGTTAGTTCCTCATGATTCAACCATTTTCAGAAAGTTCTCCCATTTTCCACCAGCTTTCCATCATTAGACAAAAGACCTCAAACCCTTACCCAAGTATGGTCAGGGCTCCAAGAAATAGAGCGGCACTAGCAATCCTAATCCTCCTCTTTACTCTAAGACTCTGTGATAACTTACGTAGCCACACGGAGCTTAGCGGTGAATAGAAACACTTAATTTTTCTGCATATTCCACCCCATCTTAAATAAAAACATATTTAAATAAAAACACTTCATTTTAAAAACATAACTGGTTTGATAAAGCCAATTACACAACTGACTGAATTTAATTGTGGAGATGATGTATAAAGCAATCAACTAAGACAAGAATTCTTTTTTTTCTTTTTCTGCTAAGCCTTCATTTTATTGCTTCTGCTAAAACTTCTGAAATGAAGTTAGAACTAAGGAAATTCAACAGTGTCACATTTACAGGTGAGTAAATCTGCTTAGATAAACTTCCATTACTGCTACCTCTTGGCTCTGTAACAGCCCTGAAGTTTCTTATATCACTGACAATCTGTTTCCTTTCCTTGAGTCACAACTTGTGTTTTTAAATAATATTCAAATGTTTTTTATTCTCCTTTGTCCTCAAGTTCCTAAATTCTCAAGCAGATATATTTTATTTTCCTGACACAAAATAATGCACCTACTTTTATCAGAATTATTTCTTCAAAACAAGGTAAAGAATTTCATTCTCATGATTCCAGGTATAAGTTCCAACATACAAGTATCAACAAAATCCATTACCACTTGCACTGAAAGGACAACATCAGACCCTAACAGTGTCTAAGGTTTGCTATCAAAACTAATCTTCCTTCTTCCATATTCCCATAATCCTTCACTTATACCTCTATTACAAAAACCATGATTCTGCCTTGTAACCATACAGATATATATACCCTACTAGAGAAGAGCTTACTTGAGGCAAGATGCTTCTCTGTTCTCTGAATGTATCATCAGTCTAACAATGCTCATACTTTAAAAACATTTGTGGTATTGTATTAAATTCATTAACGCCAAAAAGATTTGATTAGAAGTATGAGATTCCCAGAAACTCATAATGTAGACAGTTTTACATCCATAACTATTTCTCAAATAGAGCAAACTCAGGCTTTCAATGGATTTAACCTTAGCTTCACAACAATTTGACATAATTTTTTCATTCTAAGGTACAATTTTACATTTCATCATGCCTGAAATTTAGAAGATTCTTAAAACTACACGGAATGTTACATGCAATTTGTGTGTATGTGTTCATTCGCTCAGTTCTGTTTGACTCTTTGCAACCCCATGGACTGTAGCCTGCCATGCTTCTCTGTCCATGGAATTTTCCAGGCAAGAATTCTGGAGCAGTGAATCTTCCTGACTCAGAGACTGAATCTCCATTTCTTATGTCTCCTGCATTGGCAAGCGGACTCTTTACCACTGTGCAACCCGGGAAGCCTAGATATACTTTAGAAGTATTTAAAAATTCTTGGGTATATATAAAATAATGGTCAGTCTTAAGACAGACGGTATTTCATAATAGCAGTGCACTTTAACAGTGGATGATTAATTTCACTAAGCTTCAATTTCCTACAGTGTAAATGAGACTCAAAATACCTATATCTCAGCATATAAAAGATGTGGTCAAAGAAACTACACCTTTTTAAAGAAAAGGATCAAATAAAAGATAAAAATGAACTGTAAAGAAACTATCTGATAAGCATTAACTGTAATCATGCCTAATAAAGCTCTTGCCACATACCAACAGTCTAATTAAAGATAGCAACCTACTTTGTCATCATCATCGTCAACAAGAGCAAAATCATCATGATCTAGCCTGACAGGGAACTGAGAGGAAAGAAAAGTTTCACACTATAATACTGAAACACCATGTCTTCTGTCCTCTAATTCCTTCCAGTATACTGAAAATAATTTCTATAATTTCTCAACAGATATATAGGCTGCCAGAACACATTTTGAGATTACAAAAAAAAAAAAACAAAACCAGAACAAACAAAAACAGTCAAGGCCCTGAAAAGACTCATCTTCCTAGTCTGAAGATGAACCAGCTGAAGAAAAATCACCAAGTGACAGACTGCAGACTGCAGACAGCAGTAACAATGAGGACCACAAGATGGGGTTATAAACCTTTTGAGGCTGTTGCTGTTCCAGGAGTTGCTGTCTGAGATGTTCAAGATTTTGCTGCTGCAGTTGTTCTGCTATCTGATGAAAGATGGAGTTGTTCACAGATTCCGAAACATGAGAACTACAAGGAAAAACAAGTGTAAATATATTTTAAAATCCAATAAAGATAATATGAAAGTAACAGAATATTAAAAAAACACCCCAAAATGCCAACAAATGGAATTTACTCTACTACAGTGTCTACTTTTATCTTTTTTCAGTGTTTACTTTTAATATTAACACAGAAAATAGAGTAACTTAGAACATTAATATGTTGAAATAGAAATATACTCTTCAATAGTTTCAGTAGATGGATTACATGTTAGACATACTCTGATGAAAATCTGCTATTACTGTCTATAAATTAGCACTTTTTTACATTAGAGCATTTTAAGAAAATCTTAATGAAACACTTATAAACCATGACACAATGGGAAAAATGTTCCATCAATCAGTATATGTGCAATCAATAATCAAAACTGATCATACACTTAAAAAAAAACTAATCTGCTTTCACATTATTAGGCATGTTAACAGAAAGTGTTTAGATAAGAGGAAATATTTAATTATGCTCTGGGAAATTCACACCTGGAATTCTGGGTGCCACAAGGCAAGACATGAACAAAAAAGAGGGTACCCCAAAAGGGGCAATCAGGATGGTGAGAAGTCTTGAAACAGTTGGAAAAAAGTGTACTTCATCTGGAGCAAATAAACCTAAGGGGAAGAACGATACCTATCTTCAAATACTGAATGACTATGTCCCAATAGATTATGGAGCAAATCTGCTTCCTTGCTTCAGAAAGCAAAATGGATCAGTGTGAAGAAAGCAAGTCATGTAGGATTCAGTAACAACAGATCAAACCGTATTAACAACTACTTAACTCTATGTCACAGAAGGCATTAAAAAAACGGATAAAAAACCTATCAGGACTGTTACAGGAGATTCTTACGTTGCTCGGGACACTGTAATGCTTTGTAGTCTAAAACATTAGTTCTTAATTTTTCAAGTAGAATCTCTTTATCATAAGCATATAACTGCATTTATATATATTATACATTTTAATATATTATCACAACATAGAAAACTAATAACTGCTGAAATAAAGACATCCAGAGGCTTTCCCCACTCATCATCCCTTTCCTATTCTCCCACCTTTCACCTTCCTCCCCAACATCCTCCTTCCCACTGGTCCTCTCCTGAACCCTCACAGAACCCAAGGCTCTGCACAATTGTTTGGGGTGAGGAAGTAGGAGAATCACTGATTTAAATAAAAACTCACAATCTATTTCTTTAACAAACAAAATCCCTACAACCCTGTTCCTTACTTCTAATTAGTCTGATACATTCCTAGAATTTACTATATACTTCCTAGAAGCAGCCACTGACTCTAGAAGCAAACGTCTTTCTCCTACTATTTCAACTGAGCTAAATAACCTAAAGCTTAATATATCAACAGCAAATGTTACAACCAAATTTGTCAACACTTATCAATTTTCCAGTAAGGAATTTTTATATATCCCAACTGTCTGCAAAGTCCTTAGAGTCCAAACAATACAGGGTGGCAACAAGCAGCATCTCCCCCACCTCCCTCTGTGAGGGCCAAGGGCTGAGACAGGACTGAAGGCTACTGAGCGGCTCGGTGATGTTTACACAGATAACAGGGAAAATTATGGTTTATGAAGAAAAACACAACTCTTACAGTTGAGAAGCTGGAATCTCCTTTTTGGGTTCTTCACTATGCTCAGAATCTTCCCCAAAATCAAACCTATCCATCAACTTCTAAGTGGGGAAAAAAAAAAGAGGGAGAGAAAGAGACAAATTCAAAAGTACGTTACACAAATACAAGTTACAAATGCTATTCTGAAGATCAATGACATGCCATTAATTTATCATTTAAAATGCAACTATTCCTTTCATGTTAATTTTATTGTTACATACTGTTTATATCATATAATTTTACTGCTTAGTATTATACTATAAAAAACATTTTGAGTGGACCTTTACTTCTCTTCAAATACTTCTGACAGACGTTGTCTTATGAAGCAGAACAATCATGACACATAGGATAATTACCAATACTTTATAGAAGAGAAGATTAGTATTTAAATAATTAAGTGGCTTATCAAGAGTAAAACAGTTTTATAAAAAAAAAAACTACAACTATAACCTACAGAACTATAATCACAGCTCTATCACCAGCACAGTTCTCTCAGAACACTCCACTGTCCTTTACATGATCAGTCTAAAGGCTTTTTGAAAGCTGTGGGCTAAACAAGCTTAAGCAACATAATCTAGTAAATCAATATTTATATTTCTATGAAAATAACAGCAGAAATAAAAAGAACATAGATTAACATTTCCAAGGGATAATATTCCTATAATCAACCAGAATACTGAGGATATCATACAAGTTAAACATCCATGATTTTCAACTTTGAAAATGCTATTCTTTATAGTTAAATCTCAATTTATCATATTATAGTATAGTAACAACTTGTAAAGAAGCTTTCCTTTGAACTTTCACATACTTCACAATTTTAATTTTAGCAGGTTAAAATTACAGGCCAGACACTAAAATTAATTCATTTGTAACATCCATAAAAATTAGCTCAAAAATAATCATTTGTCTCAATAGTGAATATACAATTTTACTGACCAGTTTTTAGTCAAAAGAAAATAAATGTTTCAAGTGGATTTATAAAATTACATAAATTTCTTTCATAAATTTGATTCTTTTGTAAAATTTATTTCTTAAACAGTACATGTGGGTGTGCTAAGTTGCTTAAGTCATGTCTGACTCTTTGCGACCCTGTGGACCGTAGCCCGCCAGGCTCCTCTATCCATGGGATTATCCAGGCAAGAATACTGGAGTGGGTGCCATGCCCTCCTCCAGGGGATCTTCCCAATTCAGGGAATGAACCCGCATCTCTTATGTCGCCTGCATTGGCAGGCAGGTTCTTTACCATTAGCACCATCTGGGAAGCCCATTATACAGTGCTGAGTCACTCAGTCGTGTCCAACTGACTCTTTCCAACCCCACGGACTATACCCAGCCAGGCTCCTCTGCCCATGGGGATTCTCCAGGTAGGAATACTGGAGTGGTTGCCATTTCCTTCTCCAGGGGATCTTCCCAACCCCCAGGGATTGAACCCAGGTCTCCCAGATTGCAGGTGGGTTCTTTACCATCTAAGCCACCAGGAAAACCCTTACAGAGTACAATGGATGTTAAAACATAAAACAGTTCTAGGGTAAACTGTAATTTACATAATGGCAATCTACATGATAGTATAGAAAATTCAGTTCTTCATATAGCACAGATCTGTTATCCTAATTTCTACCTTGTTAAAAGACACCCCCTGTTCTAGGGGATTGAGGGTGTTGGCTGCGGCGGCGGCTGCTGTAAGCTGTGCCGTGAGAGCCTGCAGCTGGACGACAAGACCTGCGTCCAGGGCTTGCAGGATGGAGGGCTGAGGCTTCTGCTGCTGTATCTGCAGGGTCTGTATTAGCTGCTGAAGCTGCAAGGGGTGCAGGGAGAGAAAAGAACAGTGTTACAAACAGGTGTTGGGCTTTACCCATAAGAATGCTCATATAAAACTTTTACTCCATAAAATTTATTATTCTACAGTCTAGAGACCAAGAAAAAAATATATACTGACTCAAAACAATTCATTTTTTAAATAATATTTTTGTGTGTGTGCCATATGTAACAGTTCTAAATAGGTTTGTCTTACTTCTGGAAAGTCAAGGAACTTTAAACAAAATAAAATGACCATACCATGACAAACAACAAAATAAAAACTCATCACAAGCAGACTAATTTTTTCACTAAGCTTTTCATTCCCTTCTTCAATGAACTCAATCTCTGTAAAAGGACAAGCATTTACAACAACTGCCTTTGCTATCATTCAGATTTACCATCTGATAACACATTCCTGAAAGGAGGAAAGAATATAAGGAATCTTTCCTTTGGAGAAGTCTGAAACTAAGGAAATTAAAGATGAATAGGGTCAACAAGAGTTGAAAGCAACCCCTGTCCCCCCTCTATTCACCTTCTCTCTTAAAAAATAGAAATAATAGCAAAATCCTAAAGATATCTCAGTTAAGTAAGCCCTACATATGTCCCAGAAATAATTACTTTCCTACTTAAGATGTAAACCGAAGTTAAATCTGAAAATTATCATAATAGCAAAATCCTAAAGATATCTCAGTTAAGCAAGCCCTACATATGTCCCAGAAATAATTACTTTCCTACTTAAGATGTAAACCGAAGTTAAATCTGAAAATTATCAGTTGGGAATAGAAAAATAAAAATAGCAAAGCTACTGCTAAATTAGACATTTGTATTCTTTAAGTAGAGTTCAATTTACTGTGAGAGAAGATAAAAATATGCAAGATGACAGTAAGTGCAATAATTCCATGCCTATCCCAAATAGCAACATTGGAAAACAAACCAGTCCTCACCTATCAATAAACATTTACTACAAACTACTAGTGTGATAGGAAAGAAAACACAAAAACATGGTAGTTGAGATACTGCACTAAAGCTCCCAGGCAGACAGGATGGATGACTGAAAGAAGGGAGTATTATAGGGAGGAAGGAAGGAAGGAAGGATACGGCTCCACACGTTTTAAATGCGCCTTCCGACACCTGCCTCACCACCTCTCCCCACGCCCCTGGAGTACTGTTATCCTCCTGGTGACCCAGGTTCAAAGTCTGCAGCGTCCTACTCCTTCCTCTCCTCTGACTTCGTGTCTTCGATTACTGTGTCTTCTTGACACTTTGTACTCATTCTTCTATAATACTGATTCTCCTGTCCAAAGTAGCTTTTAATAGATACCTTTTAAAATTAGATTTGTTTTATGGATTCTTTTCAAAATATCATAATCACAGAAAGTTAGTAAATTCTACAATTTAATCTAATATTCAATTTGGTTTCACAACTGTCCCCAAAAAGTAGAAACAGGATCCAATCTAAGACTAAATAAATGAACTGGTTCCACTGTTTTTAAGATTGTCTTTTTAAAGAGTCCACAACTGTACTATTTTTCACATATGTATTACTGCCTTTCTATTATCATTGTTACCAACAAATATACTCCTTATGTCTAGATTTCACCAACAAATACACTCCTTATCTCTAGATTTCTCTTTTTCCCCGTTCATTCAAGTACTCTTCAGATCATGTGACTTCAACATAAAAATCTCTGGCAACTCCTCACTGCTTAGTACATGAATCCTCCACTTCTCAGCCCAGGTCCCACACTTAGGTTTATCACTTCAATGTCATGACTAGTAACTTACAAACAGAGACTATCTTATCTTCTAGAAAACCCAATTCTAAGATCTCTTCTCTATACCCCAACACTGTTATGCCTCTATACATCAGTCATTCACTTCACAAAATATACTGAATACCTGCTATAACCTAGACACTGAAAATATAGCAGCGAGCAAAACAGAAAAACTCCATGCCCTTGTACAGTATACACTCCAGTGGAAAGAGTCAGTGAATGAAACAAATGAGGAAATTACATGAGATATTAGGTGCTAAGGAAGAAAAGAAGGCAAGTGACAAAGGGAGCAGAGCAGATGAAAGGCAGCATTTGCAGTTTTAAATAGCTGTCTGAAGGCCTTACTGAGCTAGCATTTAAACAAAGACAGGAGACTGAAATGTGTGAACATGTGGGAAGGACAGCTCGGGGAGTTTTACTGTATAGATCACAATTAATCTGGTTTTAAAGGATAAGCTTAAAACAAACAAACAAAAAAAAAAACACAGATTCTAAGGAAAGACAATCTCACATCTGCTGTAACAGGTTCTTCAAATGTCACTCTGTCAAAGATGCTTTCTCTTGGCTACCCTAACTCTGACCCCTTCCTCCAAACCTAGTCACTCTAAGGATCTGCCCTGTTTTAAGTCATATGTGCTAAGTTGCTTCAGTAGTGTCCGACTGTGCAACCCTATGGACCGTAGCCTGCCAGGCTCCTCTGTCCATGTGATTCTCCAGGCAACAACACTGGAGTGGGTTGCATCTCCTATTCCAGGGGATCTTCCCAACCCAGGGATCAAACCCATGTCTCTTACATCTCCTGCATTGCAGGCAGGCAGGTTCCTTACTGCTAACGCCACCTGGGAAGTCCCTTTAAGTCATACATCTCTATCCAAATGTTTTATACCTCTTTATTGTCTGTCTCCCCTAAGACAGAAAGATATCTTCTCCAAGGCAGAAGGCTTCCCAGTCTCAGTACTGGATTAACAATACCACCTAATAATGCTTGGCAAAGCTATGTGCTAAATCAATTATTTTGGTGTAGAATAAATTATTTGTAAAATAATCTTCAATGATAAAAATGTACATGATGCATTATTAAATTTAAAAAAGCAAGTTACAAAGTATTATATGTAGTGTGGTCATTTTTTAAAAAATCAAAGAAAAACACTCTTTAGGTAGTACATAATGAAACAATGCATTAGGAAAACAATGAGTTCTAAATCATGTTGACATAACAAAAAAAGCTGTTCACCTGTTGGCCTTGAGGACTTTGTAAGATCTGAGCTACTGCTGCAAGTGTATCTGTATTTGTTATCTGAGACACCCACGGATCAGGTAAACCTTGGACCACATTGGCTGGAGTAACAGGTGTCACAGGAGTTCCTTTTAGAAAGACATCAAACCCGTCGCCAATAAATATGTAAGTAAATAAATAAGATGTGGAAAATTAGATTTGTTCTGTCACTTTTATAAAATATGTACAAATTTATATAGTTTTATTGTCTTCATCTTTAAAAACCATTACAGAATTAGGTTCGTCAAACAAAACAGCAACAACAAAGAGCTTTTCATACTTATTCTCAATTAACTAAGCTACTATTTTAAAGGAGCCTACAATACTCAGAAATCATTAAGTACCTTACTAAAGAAGAAAATTCAATAGCATAAGGAAATATTCAATCTCTGATGAAAAATTATAAAAGTGTACATAAAATTATTATTGTTCCAAAATGTGTATGTACATAACCCAAAATAAACATATATCAAAATGTTAACAAATATAATTCTTATTAGACTATGGTTAAAAAAATTCAAATGTCACTTAAATACCTCAAAAAAACCTCCATGATTTTGATATTATTACTCATTCTTAGATCCATTAAATAAATTTTTTCAGGGTTCTCTTTATATATTAAGTACACTTAGCTCACTATGAATATCAGGTTGATATATAAGCAAGTTTAAAAGATTACAGTCTAAATCAGGGAAAATTTGACTGACATACCAAAGTCCCAAGCTGATTATCTATGTTTCTAGGAACTTTAAAAGCTTAGCTTTTTAATTTTTTTGAAAAGAATGAAACACAAACATAATTTCTGATTTTGTTTTTCCTTCAAATTAGACTTTCTTTCATTTACCTAAAGCAAAACAAATTCTCCTACACTGTCAAAATATTTCATATATGAATAATCGCCTGAAATTCATGAGTAGAACACTCAGAAAATCTCTCAAAGCAACGCACCTGGGGTATTGCTCATAGCAGCAGTAGTACTGGCCAGAACAGGTGTGACGACTGGAGGAGGAATCCCTGCTGCCATATCCAGAAGAGGCTGAATAATCTCACTCTTAAATACATTATTTTTCTGCCATAAGTTTAATACTCTCACTATTTTACTCTAGAGGAAAAAGAAAAATGATTATTTTTATTTTTTTGCTTTCAAAACTTTAGAACAGTCATATCATAGACGCTCCTCCGGCCGTGGATAGGAAGGATGGATTAAAATACTTCTGGGACACTTAATGGAGTTCATGCACTGAGATTACAGTATCAGTATAATCTTTCCTACTGTGGTTATAAAAAAAATCCCTATATACTAAACTTCATTATAAATGACAAATATTATTATTATGAAGTCTACAAATTCAAGACTGACTTGTTCATTGTTACTGACATAAATCTAAATCCAAACTAGTGAAATTCCTAAATCAAAGTGTTTAAGTTACTTCAAAAATGTTTATATAAAATTTCAAATGAGTTATTTTAGGTGGCATTCTAAGGTATTTAAGACTCAATTATGATGGATCACATTAAAACTGGAAGCGTTCTTTCTGCCTGCAAAGAATCATCAACGTACCAAGTTTAATTAGAAGGAAAAAAATCCGTCTCAAGAGGCATATCCAAGAACAGTTTACAACTAATGACACAACAATACATTTTCTCCATATTTATCCACTGAAACAAGACTTTTTTCTGATTCAAGACTATTTAACAGTTATTAAAAATAAAAACTACCTAATCTTGTACTTGAGAGGAGGTAAAAGATTTGTGGTAAGCTTTTAAGTCTGGTTGCTCTTCTTTAGAGTAAGTCTTCACCTGTTCTTATTTTTCCTACAAAATCAACACTGCAATCAAGTCTGTCAGAACAAGGACACTAAATTTCCAAGTCAGCATCCAAGAAACATAACCTTCTACTATCCTGGTTTCCAGCACTAAGAAAACGCTACCATAACAAAGGAATTTTGATATGCAGTTATTGTCTACTAATTACTTGGTTAATTCATTTTCCACAGACAACTAAGTAGGTAAATATCAGCTCAGGTCAAATAACCAAAATTACAAACTGATTGTGCATGTAAATAAATAAGATTTTAAGATAATTACAAATGCTTATTAGAGCCAGTTTCTTTAATACCTATGGCTTTAATAAATTAAAAAGTAGCAAAATCAACTATATCTTTCATTCTGTTTTGGAAAAGTCTAATAACAAAAAGAAACATGGAAAGTGCAGTAACTATTCAAATTCAGGATAACAAATAAATGATAAAATGATAAATTATGACAATGTAAAGTCTTATTAAGATCAAAACAGTAATTACTGCACCAACTTAAAAAAAAAGGCAACATACCTTGTCATCTCCGGGGCAACGGTATAAATTCTGGAAAGTGCTAATGATGTTATTACTAAATCTGGGTGCAAACACATCCTTTTCTTGACCAAACTGATGTCGAGATTGTCGTACAATAGAGTCAATAACATAAAGTCCAGGTACCTTATATTCTGGTTTACACTGATGAAAAAAGAAGAGCGGGAAAGGAAGCAAATGAGAAGGTTACAGTTCTCAACAGACAAGTGTCACCATAAATCTTATAAAAACACACACACACACAGCTCACACTGAGGTGATGAGCGTTCAGAGGCTGACCACTCCACGCCATCTGTCTCTGGGGTGGCATCTGGAAGAATCTACCTTGGCTACTGTACATATTCAGTTCAACTACAATCACCTAAGCTCCAAAACAGCCCTGTGTAACTGGCTTGAACAATAAAAAACAAAAGGCGTGGTTAAAATTTTTTTTTTAATTGTTTAATTATTTTTGAATTCAAGCAGTGAGTTCAAGAAAGAAAAGCTCTGGTTAAAAAAAAAAAAGTACTGCCAACAAGCCTTAGACTTCATCTGAAAAACACACAGCAAAAGGGTCTCCATACTAATAAAAGAAGGAATCAAAAGGCAGATTACAACATTCTAAACACAATGAGTCTGAAGTTTTAAAATTTTTCTCAAATGCAAACCTGTATGAAAGACAAGACACTACCATTACGATTCTAAAAATCTGTCCTATGAAAACATGTTTTAGCTACTTTACTCATCAGTGTTTCTTATTCTTCTTATAATCTGAAGAATATGAAAGTCTCCTGGGACCTTACTAAGCACAGTGAAGAATCCTTCACCACCAGGTTCAAGGCTTCCATTTTTTCCATATCCAGAAGCAGGAGAAAACCTGCCTCCCAAACACATACTAACTAAAATGAAATTATGGCTGCTAGAAGCAGGTTCAAATTTTAAGTGTAATTAGGTAAGTATTTCATCCAGAGTCATTTTATAAAAATCATATATAGCACTAAATCAAAACTGCATTCTTGAAAAATTTCTTAGACCCAAGAACCAGTGAGTAAAGGATCTTCAATCCACCTCCAACACACAGATACGTGTTTCTCAACAGTATTTTCAGTCAAGACAATGAGTGACTTCACTATGCAAAAAGACTAGATCCATCATTTGTTCCTTCAAATCCCTTCTTCTTAAGATCATTATTGAGAAAATGAAGAGACCGATAGCACCAATTTATAAGTATCTATTGCAAGGTTCTGGTTGTTTAGTACTTGAAATATTTAATAAAAGGGCAGTAATGTTGATGTGTGGACATTAAAGATTTAGGTTTAACCAACCAAAGGTTCAAAACTGTCTGCTCTGTTGAGTTATTTTTTAGAAGTCTGAGATAGTTTTCAGTGATATTCCCCCCAAATCTAGCATATCTGTCCCTCAGTTCATATATCTGGCTTATTTTCCTTTGATTACCATACATGCAAATAATTATCTACCTAGCCAGGCAAATAATGTTTAAATTTAATGAAAAACCAAGACATTTCCTTGTTAAAAGTCATTTATTCCTCAATGCTGGAAAAACAGACAAAATAAACTCATATATAATGTATTATTTTATAGAAATGATTATCTCGAGAGTAAGGCCAAATAAAACTGCCAAGTTGCTGGTAAGAGTTTTTAAATTTAGTGTAGTGAGTTAAAAAAAATACAATCTTTTTCTTTGATTTATAACAAAAATTATTGATTATAAACTCACAGTACATATGAATTATGAGTACACAACACAATAAACGGTCCTTTCTTCCCTACTGTGAAGATTCCAAAGCTTCAAAAATGTTAGGGGTTTTAGTGTTAAGCTATAAAGATGAACAGTTCTTTCACAATGCCTTTAGAAACACCATATTATGATGTTACAGTATCGAATTTCCTTCACTGATAAGACAAGGTATTTTTATGTGCCTACCACATAAAATGGCAAAAAAAAGTTATGTATGATTTAAATGTTGTAGAAAAGCTTTAAAATAACAGTATTTGGTAAACTTGGTTACGTTACCAACTAGAAACTTGAGAGAAGAATTAAGACTAAAAAAATCTGACGTTTTTCAACTGTTTGTTCAAGTTCTATCAGTAGCAAAAACACAAGCCTCCAATGTCATGAGGGATTTTTTATACTTTGAATTAACTGTGGCTGTACTTACAAAGCACTACATGATGCTGACAGCAGCAGGTAAGAAAAGAGGGCTGTCTCAGGACACAGTTATACCTGATACCAATGAATTCTCAAAGTGAATACTGCATGCTTCCAACAGAGGAGAGGGAAAGGAACCTTTCCAAGAGAGCCAAAGCATTCAGGCCTTAACAAGGTCTACTCTCAGGGAAGCCTGGCATGCTGCAGTCCACAGGGTCACAGAGTCGGAGACCACTGGGAGACTGCACAACTCTCAGGAGAAACTTTTAACCAGAGCCTGATCTGCTTTGGTTTTACCAGAGCCTAAATGACCCACCCTCAGGGAATCAGAACCTGCATTTCAACAAGATCCTTAGGTAATTTGTGCAAGCTTCTTATGCACAAAAAAGTTCAAGACACAATGTTTAGACATTTGAACCTTTTTAAAGTTTTATAACAATGAAATTTTCTTAGCACCATCATTTTGATCTTATAGTTAGATTTACCTGAAACATACAGTATACATGTTATTTTACCCCATACCTTAAGCTTCAATTCACTAGTTGTTCATCTCAAAGTATGTTTTACCAGTACTTTAAGTTTTGAGAAAACAAGATGTTAAGAGGGGAAAAAAGCTGAATCACATAAAGATTAACTGATTTATTCAAGATTACCCATATAGTTTAGAGACGCAGTAATACTACTCTGATCCATGCACCCTCCTCCAGTCAACTATTTTCACTCAAGAAACACACTGCAATTTATGTCCTTTGATTTACCTCTGATTCTCAAACTGGTTCTGCTTACATCTAGGCAAGTGAACAAAGGGCAGAATACAAAACCTCAATTCAATGACAGATTTCCTACAGTATCATTTTACAAATTATAAGTCTTATGGCAAAAATAAGCCACTAAGTCTTATGGCAAAAATAAGCCACTGATCACAAAGAGGCAAAGAAATATAACCTAGCCACCTTGGGCTCTGGTTACAAAAAAAATACTAAATGTATGCAAAAATAGCTGTTTTCAACTTCTCTCCCTCTGCTTACCCTGGAAAATGGAACTTCAGGTCTAATAATAAGATGTAGAGATGCATACTGCCCTAATGGATGAGACAAAATAAATCAGCAGAAGAAAAGTGGCTAGCATTTTTACTACATTTTACTACATCTTATCTACAAGGAAGACTGCTCTCTAGGCATTAAGCTTGAAATGAAGAAGGAGAATTTCTCTAAAGGCTATATAAAAAGCAATGAATCTAAAATTTCATTTAAAAAATCATATTGAAATATTTTCTTCATGGAACAGATGCTCACTATGGCAATGCAAATTAACAAACACATCTACCTGAAAGCTTTCGTTTTAGAATTAAAATAATTCTATTTCTTCATTAGAAATTAAGACAAATGGAATCGCTTTTGAACAGCCATCAAAGCAATTTAAAGTTGGGTATTTGACTGCAAAAAGAATAGCACACGGTGTTAGTCTATGGTTACAGAACGTTTAGCGTATACATAGAGAACTATGTACTTACTTTCTGAATGAATTTCTCAACACTCTGTACCACATGTTTATAGAACTAAAAGAAAAAAAAAAGAATTCTGGTTTTAAATGTTTGATTAGAGCTTTCCTGCTAAATATATGGTTTAACAAAGCATCAAAGTCTATCAACAAAGCAATGAATTTTAATCATGAATTTGAGATAAACATGACATATAAACATGAGCACTAGCTAAGGTCAGTAAAGGTTCTTGAAGTAGGTATATGGTCAATATATCCAAAGTGTGTTACATGCAAAATACTGGTGGTAAGCCATTGGTAGATGTACATTCTTCCCTCCTGGAAGGAAAAGTAAAGATCTCCTATAGTAACATTTTATTGGCTAAATTAGGTGAGAACTAGAAAAATCAAATAACTGAAAATAAGGAACATTAAGAAATGTATGCAAGAGAGTTGTTTTCAACTTCATTATCTTCTGCTTCTCCTAGAAAATGAAACTAGCAAGTATATGTAACAAAATATAGAGATGTATAATGTTTGAATGGATCAGCCAAAATGAATTCAGCAGAAGAGAAGGGAGCACATGGATTAAAAATCAGAAATGAGCTTTTATCAACTATGAAAAAACCCTTTACATTTAAGTTTTATAAAACAACACTATGAATAAACTTGAAAATGAATAAAATGAAAATTATAGGTTAAACAAACACTATCTGGAATTTGCACCTAATAGCTCAATGGCAATTGCATAATCAACATATTTCTGTTTTAAAAACTAGCCTCAATTGTGCTTCGTTTTATATTTGTGATCCCATAATTTAAACTGCTCCCATCTACTTAGACTGAGACACAAGAACATTCAACTGAAGCATGAAATCCAACATTTTAAAGTAAAAAATAAAGGAACCCCTCATTAATCATATTCACCAAATCAAAATCTACAATAAAGTTTCCTTACCACAAAGTAACAGTCTACTCAACAGTTCAAGTTATTTAAAAAAAAAAAAAGCCAAAACAACTACTTGAAAGTTATTAGGCACTTTATAAATAACTAAGTATTTTAAATCAATATATAAAATACCATTTACACACACTGAGTGGTTTTTATTAAATAATAGTTCTTCTGGAAAACATCTTGCCAGAGCTTTTTACTTCTTGTTACTTTATGTACGATTTGTAATTCTGAGTAAAACAGCTTAGTAAATGTTAATTCAAAGATTTTCAATTTACATAGGTCTTTTTCCATAACAGGTTATCAGAGGTTGTGTGGACAGTGTGCAATGGTAACAAACACCCATCAAAATAATCATCTCTTAACACTGACAAAAGGCCAATGACTTACCTTAATATGAAACACAGTATCATAAAAGGCAGTTCAAATATCAATTTATGTATGTATCAAATGCAGTTTAAAGTAACACAGTACTGCAAAACAGTTGGTCTAAACTTCAAAAATGTCAATGAAAAACAAAACTAAAACAAAGCAAAAGACTGGGTAAAAGGACAAATACATGACAGGATCTTGACTGGACCCCAAAAACATACAAGTGAAAGGATTAGCTATTAAAGTTAGTATTGAGACACTGATAAATGAAAGTGTAGATTTTATTAGATAATAATGTTGCATCAAAGTAAAATTTCTTGCATGGGATGTGTTTTGTTGATCTATGAAATCTTTTTGCTTTAGGACATTAAAGTTCTAGTATTTAGGGATTAACTGCTATTCTAAATGAATTCTGAAATGAGTTCTCAAACGACTCAGTCAAAAAAGCCTGACAAAGTGTGTATGTGTGTCTGTGTGTACATGTAGAGAACTAACCAAATGTACTGGCCAAGATGCTGCTGCTGCTGCTGCTAAGTCACTTCAGTCGTGTCCGACTCTGTGCAACCCCATAGATGGCAGCGCACCAGGCTCCCCTGTCCCTGGGATTCTTCAGGCAAGAACACCGGAGTGGGTTGCCATTTCTTTCTCCATGCTAATATTTGGCAATTCTAAGCGGTTATGTACTGCTCATTATATTTTGCAACATGTTTTTATTTTTTCAAAATTAAAAAAACTAAGTACCAGTAAATCAAAATGGTACAGTAAACCACGTTTAGACTATAAACCATGTTTTCTCTCTTGACTGAGAGAAAAATTAAAATCTAGCTGTTTCGATTCTGACTGTTGCAAATTACTTTTCTTAGACCCTTCCAACATCTGAAAAATGGAAACAATGTTAATACCTATTCCTTAAAAGTCTTCAATTAAAAAGTATTCTGTTCAACAAAAGGTTTTATTAAAATCCATCAACCATTTCACAGAACAAAAATGATAATATGTATGTTTGCACACTCTCAGGATCACAATCATAAAAATCAGACCACAATGAAGGAGAATAAAAAGAAAGCACAAGAAACTATTACTCTATATTGAACTCATCAGATTTACTGAAAAATCACTTCTTTGAAGAAAATTCTCTAGGTTAAACGTGTTTATTGCTCACTGCCCTTATCTCTCTTTCATATTCTACATGTAAATACAGAGATTTGAACTCTAATACTGTTAGACACTGATTACAAGTATGAAAACTAAGGTTTGACTGTTAGAACACTGCAAAATCAACTAACTAAATTTTTTCCTAAAACAGACTCTCTGTGAAGAATCATCTGTTAAATCTAACAGATAATGCTATCATTCAAAGACAACTTATCCAGGGAATTCCCTGGCAGTTCAGTGGGTAGGACTTAGTGCTTTCACTGCTTGGAGCCCAGGGCTGGATCCCTGGTTGAGGAACTAAAATACCAAAAGCCCCTCAGTGAGGCCAAAAATACAAACAAAAACAAACAAATAAAGATAACTTATTTAAATAATGGTGCCTCTGGTTATGGCTGATGTTCTTACTCAGAGTAGAAAAACATATCACTGAAAATCTACAGCAGATCTACTTAATTCAAAATAAGCACTCACTCACACTCAATTTCAACAACTGGACTAGAATAGGAGTCTTAGCTTTGGGGACAAGAACGTTTTGGAGAGGTGTCTATGGCTGAGCTTCAGAAGGTCCCTAAAGCCAAGAAATTCTATTCAAAATTTTGTACATATGTGCATTTCTCTAGCAACAGTCCAACCTTCTGAGGCAAAATTTTGTACATGTGTGTACTTCTCTGGACAGTCTAATCTTCTGAGACTTTCAGAAGTATCCATAAGTCAACACAGGTTCAAAACTACTATGTCAGAGCAACAGCTAAAGTCCTCTGGCCTCTTCCCAGAGTTTAAATGTCCTATGTAAAATGTAATCCAATTATTTTCCATAAAGGTCCATTTTCAACTCTACAGTACAATCAATAAGATAAAAAAACCAAAACATTAATTTTTATTTAGAAAATTTTTAACTAGTATTTCAAGATTCTATAGTCAGTGTGACAAATAACAGTGTTAAACACATTCTCCACAATGTGCCTGTATCTAAAATCTTACCTATGAAAAGGGAAAATGCTTCAAAGTTTATGGAAGAATATTTATGAAAATATTAAGTGTTTATCTCTAGTTGGGAGGGTTTGTAGGTGACAGATTTTCATTTTTGTGGTTTTCCAACTTTGGAACATGTGTGCTAACTTTGTAAAGATGAAGAAAATATATAATCTGTAAAAATTATCCCTCCTCCAAAATATTAGTGTAGTATGTCCTTGTGAAAACAGAAGAGTGAAATGTGTTACTCACCTTTATAGCTTTGATGGCTGCCTTAGTGATTTGGGTCATTTTCGCTTTAGAAATGGGTGGCTTGTAGTCATTCAGAGAATACAACTGATGAAAAAGAGCAAAGTTTAAACACAGTAAAACTAATGGTCTCTATGCAATTACATGAAATTACCAAACATTTCTATTTTTACATCCTCAGTGAAATTAAAGTGCTGCTTTTCTTTTAAAAATAAAGTTCAGCATCATTAGCCATCAAGCAAATACAAATTAAAACCACTATGAGATTATCACTTTACACTTACTTGCTTATAATCAAAGAGACAGAGAAGTGTTAGCAAGAATGTAGAGAAATTGGAATCCTGACATAGTCCTAACAGAATGCAAATGACGCGACAGCTTTGGAAAACAGTTTGACAGTTCTTCAAAAAATTAAACATAATAATATACAGTAAGAGCCAACAATTCCACTCCCAGGTATATACCCAACAGATGTGAAAATACATGTTCCCATAAAAAGCTGTACACAGTCACTGCATTATTCATAAAAAACTCATTTAAAAATTGCAAACTAGCTAAATGTCCATCAGATGAGGAATGAATAAACAAAATGTGTTCTACCCAATTAATGAAATATTAACCATGAAAACAGAATGAGGTAGTGATGCATACTACAGCACAGATGGACCTTGAAAACATGCTCAGTTTAAAAGGTCACATTTAAAAGACCACATGTTATAGAACTGCATTTATATGAAATGTCCAGAAAAAGAAATCTACTGGGGACTGTCTACAGCGGGCCAGTTGGGGAGAAATGAGGAGTGATGACTAGTGAGTACAGCATTTCTTTTTCAGGTGATGAAAATATTCTAAAATGGACTGTGGTGAAGACTGCACACCGTACTAAAAACCACTGGACTACACACTTTCACCTGGTTAATTGTGTGGTATGTGATTGCTTTCACATACCACATAATTGCTTTCAGAAGTCAAGAGACCTAATGTTTAGCAACAATCCCACCGTTTTCCCCAAAACCTGTTTTAAAATTTCTCATATAAGCAAAGGATAATAATACTGCTTAGAGAGAAAACAGTTAAAGACAAGGTGGGGAATTAACCAAAAGACAACTAAGCTTAAATAAATCCCGATGAAAAGTGGGTACTGAGTAATGCTAGGAATTTAACTACAATTAACTAGAAGTCGAGAGACCAAGCTTTGGCCATCATGATCCTGAAAAAACCAACTTGAACAGGGCCTCCCTGATGGCTCAGTGGTAGAGCATCTACCTGCCAATGCAGGAGACACAGGTTCGATTCCCTGGTCTGGAAGATCTGACATGCCGCTGAGCAACTAAATCCGCCTGCCACAACTACTGAGCCTGTGCTCTAGAAGCCCAGGACCCACGACGACTGAGCCCACAAGCCCAAACTACTGAAGCCCTCGTGCTCCAGAGCCCGTGCTCCCCAACAAGAGAAGCCATGGCAATGAGCAGCCTGCACGCTGCAACTAGAGCAGCCCCCACTCGCCACAACAAGAGAAAAGCCCTCGCCAACCAATACCCAGTGCAGCCAAAAAATAAATAAAATTTAAAAGAAAAAAAGAAAAAACTTGAACAGACTATGAAAGCAACTCAAAACAGCTTTAGCTGGTTAACCAACTAGGCAGTCCTCTAATGTGTTTGTTCCAGCACCCCTTATAACCTATTTATCATTGAATTCTACTGATTTTTACCCAGTTTTCCCTGTATTTGTCTCTTCTTCCTCCAACTACCACCATGACCCAAGTCCAAATTACCTTCATCTCTCACATGGAGATGGCATGCCTATCTTTTCAAAAACTAATCTGATCAGGTGACTGATACTCACCTACTTCCTCTACCACCTTAAAAAGTTCAATGATTTTCCACTCGCTACAGAAACACAAATCTACGTGAACAACGTGGGTGCCTGGTCTCATTTGTGCCGGAGGCCAGGCACAAATGGGCCTCTGCCCTAGGCACAATGGTCTTTTTTCAGTCCCCCACCAGAGCCTTCCTCTATTTGGTACAGAGCCAGGGTCTCCCCACCAGTTTTCCTAACGAGGAAAGCCTTCCCCACATGTGCCCAATCAGAACTCTCTCCTTTACACCCTCACTGAACTGCCATTCCCCTTTGAAACTTTCATCATAGTAATGTGACACTTGTATGATTATTTAACGAACATTTGATTTTTAAAAGGACTGTTCCAAAGGGTGACAAAGACTGACAATCCTGAGACAAAGGATGTAAGCTCCTTTAAAGCAGTTTAAGCAGCAAGAGGTGAACTGTGCCCCAAGACCTGTCCAAGCTGAAATGAACACTAGCAGAAGTATAAACATCGTTCCCTTTAAGTTCCCACAGAGGTGTCCACTTGTTGATGATACTGCCTAACCAGGGTTACAATCTCATCAGATCCTTTAAGAAGCCACCTCTGTTAAACTCACACCAAAATTTAATATGCTCGTGGCCTCAATTCCTACTTGTCTGTTTTATAAAATCTAACTGCATGCAAGTCAACTTGCCAGGAGCAAAATAACATGAACACGTTCTGCAGTATCTATAGCAAGCTGTGTAAAGCAAAGTTCAATTTCCCAGTTAGCAGGTACAGACTGCAGCCCATCTGAGATCCAGACCTGCCCTCGCCTAAATGGTAAAGAATCCACCTGCAATGCAGGAGACCTGGGTTTAATCCCTGGGTTGGGAAGATCCCCTGGAGAAGGAAATGGCAACCCACTCCAGTATTCTTGCCTGGAGAATTCCGTGGAGAGTCAGGAGCCTGGCGGTTTACAATCCATGGGGTTGCAGAGTCAGACAGGACTGAGCAACCAACACTCTACTTCCGCTGCTATACTGCTCTACCAGAAAACAAGCTCTAAGAACAGAAACTCTGCCTCTTTTTTTACATCCGTTTCCCTTTATCCCTGCTGTATCCTCAGTGTCTGACAGAGTCAGAATTTGTTAAGAATAAATTTAAGTGAACAAATACATGTAAGATACAGGATTGTACAAGCTTTGCACAGAAACACCTGAATTTGAACTCCAACTATGTCACAAGCTGCCAAATCTCTGAAGCTTAGTTTTCTCATTTACAAAATAGTAGTAATATTCATTTCACAGAAACATTGCCTATAAAGCTTTAAAATACACTTAAATCACGCAACAGGGTTAGCCATTATTAAAATTATCTTTGGTAGGCATTTTCCATTTAAATGAACAATATTCAAGTGTGCATCAAACACCTATTCACTCAGGTTCCTGAAGGGACATTCCATACTAATTTATATTACTAGGGCAATGAAGACGCCTCAGGGTCTTCCCAAAGCTGACAATTTACTTCATTTCGTGTGGTAAAGCCCTAAAGTTTCAATCACCCTAAAGTTTCAATCAAGCATTAGTCCATATTCTAGCAGATCAAAAGCTTCTTTCTTCATTTTTTGGGGGGAGGGAGGTGATTGGGGGGGGGGGGTTGGGAAGAACGAGGCAGGGGAAATGTTAATTTAGACCTACAGAACATTTTAGTAACAGTGTCAAAAGTCAGCTCTTATTAGAGACGTTCTTTTTAAAAATGTACCTACTGTAGAAACTTAAAGCACTACTTAGAGAAATACTAAGCAATTAATAAGTACTTTTCAAAGGTTCACTTAATACATATGCTTTCAACTAACTATCCAACAAGATTCTCTAAAATCTCACTTCTTCTTTAAATCTAATCACCAGAGAAGAGGCATAGATCATGTCATCTAATTCTTCACAGGATGCCTTTACTCAAATTTAACAACGTCCCAAGTATTGCCCTTCCTTTGGCTACTCAAGACTTATTGATTCACAGGAAAGATACTAAACAACAGCCTGGGTTTTCAGTCCAATTCAGCCATTCTTTTGTTTTTCCAACTCCCTTCAGGTACACTGAAGAATCATTAACATTTAAATTTTCTACTTTATCACTTGTAGGCACCGTATGAAATGAGTGTTTTTAGATTTGAAAATAACTTCAAATCAAATCAGTTTCTAATGACTTTAATCAAGGCCAGAGGAATCCTGAACCTAAACAGTTTCTTAGTTGCTGTCTGGCTACCCCACCAAAAAGCTTATCTCAAACAAAGACTTGTAAAGCTGTCCACTACTGATCAGGCCAGGGTTCAGCACAGCACGTATTTTAGGCTTTGAATGCTACACGGCTGCTATCACACACCAGGCATCTTTCACTTCACTGTGTTTTGCAGACATACTAAAGTTGTGGCAACTCTGGGCTAGTTAGTGAAGAAAGCATGCTGATAAGCCTCCTGCACCAGTTAACCTGTGAATGCAAAGGAAAAGTTCTTGAAGGACATTAAGTGCTACTCCAATGAACAGACAAATGATGAGCCCGCAAAGTGGCCTTACTGCGGATACAGAGAAAGTTTCAGTGTCTGGAGAGAAAAGTACACCAGCTGCCACATTCCAGAAAGCCAAAGCCAGAGCAAGTTTTTACTCAATTCTCTGAAGGCCGAGAGAGGTGAGGAAGCTGCAGAAGTGTGAAGCTAGCAGAGAAGATTCATGAGATTTAAAGAAAGAAGTCACCTCAGGAACATAAAAGTGCAAGTGAAGCACCAAATGCTGATGGAGAAGATGCAGCAAGTTATGCAGACAATCTAGCTCCAATAATTAATTAAAGTATCTCCAGAAACAACAGATTTTCAATGTAAACAAAACAGCCTTAAGTTGGAAGAAGTCAGGTAGGACTTTCATAGCTAACAAGGAGAAATCAATGCCTGCCTTCAAAGTTTCAAAGGACAGGCTGACACTCTTGTAAGAGGCCAATGCAGCCAATGACTAGTAGAAGCTAATACTCATCTACCATGAAAATCCTACCTCCTTGAAGGATCGTGCTCAATCTACTATGCCTGGGCTCTCTAAATGGAACAACAAAAGTTAGATGACAGCACATCTATTTACAACACTGCTGACTGAAAATATTTTAAATCCATTGTTGAGATCTACTTACTGCTCAGGAAAAAAAATCCTTTCAAGATATTACTGCTCATCAACAACACACCTGATCACACCAGAGCTCTGATGGAGATTAGTGTTTGCATGACTGCTAACACAAC